CTACGAACGGTGACGATTCCGAACTGGTAAAGAGTACCGCTTGCTGGCGATACTCTCGATTTCGAGCCACGACGGTCTACCGTTTCCTCTCGAAACCCGTTCCAGCGCTTTGGTTCGACCGACGATCGAAAACTAGGAGCCCAGATCGGAGGCTTGCTTTCTAAATTCTCCCCGTAGTCTGTATATCTTTCGACGAGCGCATTCGCGGGCCTGCATTCGCTGGTGGAACGGAACGGGCAACGACGCGAGCGCTATGATTAGCGATTACCGCATCGTGATATTAGCCGCGACGCGATTCCTCGCGAACGCGTGAGTCACGGCCTCGTCGCGTAGCCTACGTGACGTTCAGCATCAAGCTTCTGTGCAACACGCTAATGACGATAGATTTATACCTACGTTAGACACGCTTCCATCCGTTCGCCATTGCTAGCCTCTCAGCCGACCAAATCGTAGGTGGGGTCGATTCTCTCTCGATTACGAAAGTGGCTTGAATCTTATATTTTAATTTGATATAATAAAATATTTATGAAGATGTAAGACACGACTGATAACACCGCAGTGTTAACTTTAAGGGCGAAATCGTACTCAGCAAACGGAAGGGAGCCTGATACTCAACCAGAGACATTCAGACATTTATCAAGAGACTAAGCAAATAGATTCAAGATAGTAGATACTCTACTTCAAACACCTGTACGTTCAACGGAGAGGTGCACTCGGCTAGGCTGTGTAAATTCAGCTGTGATAGAAAATCAAAAGTCTACGGAACGATACGAAAAAGGGAGACCCTTGATTCTTCGGGAAATATTTATTCGTAATATGTATTACTGGTGAATTTGTTTCACCGTTCAGTAGACTTGGTACCAAATTTCTTTAGGAAGAGGACGTGTTCTCTGTCGCTGGTTTATAAAGTATTTTAATTATAAATTCGAGAGACGAAACGAGCAGGAGCGTTTCCACGTTGTGGGAAAAGCGTGGACCACGCGTACGCGTTTCCCCAGATCGATACCGTGGTCGTGCAGCGACTCGCAATCGCAGGCTCAGATGGATATTATTAATTACGCGAGACGGCACTAACAGCTCGCGTAATTAATAATTAATACTGGACACGACCTCTAATTTCAGATACTTGGATCATACCTACCGCAACTCTCGGTGTAACAGGTTCGGTAACCTGTTTTCGCGCAGGTAGCCGTGCATAAGCACCTAATAGCAGAAGACGGCGATTATGCGAAACACACGTCGGTGCACCGTCGCCCCTCCCCGCGACTGCAACGTGTGCAACCGTGATACGCGTTTATGGCAACTGCCTCGGACGATCGATAAGTTGTTCGTAGAGGCAGGCCCTGGAATCGTTCGAGGAACCACACCGATCGCTAATGGCAGTGCCGTCATTAACGGCGCTTGATTGCGCTGTATCGTAATTGGAAATCCCTCGAATACTCGATTCATGAAAACCTCGCCTCCGCTATGCTTCGAGAAATGTCGTTCCTTTTGTTCTCCGTAGCGTTCTGTTCTTTGACGCGTGAATATTATCGCTTCCGCGTAATGTCCGCGTTTCTCCGCCCGGCAAAATAGTGAACGCTGATGTCCGACCGCGTGCTACGTATCCAGATTCCACTCGAGGAGACCCCGACGAAATAAAATTCGAAATAGTCGATTTTACTGTACCTTGGCGACCCTGATATATCCGATGCAAATTAAAAAACAGCGTTACAACCGTGAAACTCCGTTTTCTAGCGTGATTTCGAGGCGATCCAGCGATTAACCCCATGCAACGTATCGTACGAGCGGAGAAAGATGAAAATTTTATTGTAGTTTGTTAGGGATTACACCGCCTTGGCGACCTTAATACATCCGATGGGAATTAAAAGACCAGTCTTACGACCGTGAAACTGCGTTTTCTATCACGATTTCCAGTAGATCCGACGTTTAACCCCGTCCAACGGCGATTCCTCTCGGATCCCATGGTGAGCCGTGCACGGGGTCGCGAATGAGTGCATCGAACGCGGCGAATGCATTACCCGTCGCGATCTTCCCACGGCAACAATGAGAGGAACAGGGCGACCACGTGGAAGGGAATAAAATTAACGTCAGCGAGCGATGTCTCGGGGTAGCCCGAGCGCGTTAAAGCGTTCGGCGTTCCATAGAAGGCCGTTGGTCGCCTCGTTCCTCCCTCCATATTAGTATTCCCGTACGGATGACCCGTTCGGGGTGTCTTCTTTCCGCGGAAGAAGCGCGGATCTCCGCACAGTCTCGCCCGAAACTCCAAGTCCCGGCAGATAACAAGACACGCGCTATGCAGATGCCGCGGCCAGGAGCTCGCGGCGGGGCGCCCCGTCATGATTTAGGCTAATTATGCATGACCGGGTCCCGGCTAGGTTTCTCCTTCAGGCGTCATAACTAAAAGCCCCCGGTGTCGCGGTAGCCGGCCCTCCTCTGGCGAACACGTAACACGAACGCTCGTTTTACGCGCGCCAGGACACTCTATGCGCGTTACGTGCTCGGTTTTGGGTAGCCGCGACTTCTGCCCTGTCTCGTTTCACCTGTCGCGGCCAGACGACTTACTCGCTTTTAGGGAAAATGGGAACGCCGTCTGCCCCGCGTCCCGTTTCTCGCTATAGCCGTATTTAAAGTTTCTAAAGATCCACGATATTGTAAAGATGTCAGGGATGGTTACAAACTATATTATTCGATATTACATTAAACTATTTGACAAAAAATACATAAAAGATATAATTTTGCTGTCCAAATCGAGCCCTCTCGACTCCCATCTACTTGTCACGAAGAAAAGAGTCACCGACGCATTTGATCTTAGCCCGAACACTTCCATCATCGACACGCTAATATACATTTCTTACAATACCGCCTCAACGATCCCAAGAAGCTCTCAGTTATTTTCTAGTCGTGATTCGAGCAATTTCGAGAGTGGACGGGTGTCGTAAGATGCCCGAGCGATATATTTAGAACGAACTGAAAATTTGATATCTATAGAAGACGATTGAGGCTTGGCTCGATTATGCATAGCCGGTGCACACGGTTGAGACCTTGTGACACTTAGGCAGCCATGTCGGTCATAAGTCGCTCGCTATAATGCGGTACCGACGAGGCAGCAGATCGGCAATCTCCATACGGTGCGTACGAACAAAGGACTGGCGGAGACGGCCAATAAGTTGTTCGAGGCCAAAGAGGAACGTCGTAAGCTCTTATTATTCGACGCTTCGCGATGGAAATTCGTTCTCGGACGAGCGGCGGACGGTTCTCGTCGTCGATCGTACGGAATAACAAAGGTTATCGCGCGATGGTAAAGGAATATTGTTTTCCCCGTAAAATGCAATCGATTTTGGTGCAGTTTCCGAGACGGAGAGAGAGAGTCAATTATCGCAGATACGTGCGACGCACGTAGAGTGGATAGTCTGTAGCTGCGCATTGTCGATGTAACGAGAACAAGGACTTCGTTACAAGGACCCATTAAGGGGTTGGTATTCGTTCGGGCGTACAAAACAGACGAGGGGATGCAGGAACTCGGACTAGATTACCGCGACTCGATTGCCGGGGTCAAGAGTCATCGAAGCCATACAGGTCCCGATCGTGCCTTATTCTTCCACCCACCCCTCCCCCCACGGTCCCTTTTCCCTTTGCTGGCCGGTGGATGAGATATTGAAGAACGGTAGCCATTTTGTATCATTGCCTACGATACGAGCGACGACAGGACAATAGTCGCCACTTGTCCGCCGCTTTTTTGCCAGAAACCGAATTCCAGGCCGCCCGTGGCGAGCCGTTGTTCGGCTCCGTGGCCTCCATGAAAAGCACCGCTTGATCCGATCTACCTTCGACCGTGGATCATACGTAACAGACCGAATCGTATCGCGCTTACAACCCAAGGGGGATGCTGGACAATTGGAACAGCCAATAAAACTTGCTGTCACTAGCGTCAGCTCTACGCGTACTTCTCCTGGCGAAAGGGTTCAAGACGTGTTACTACCGTTGTGAGTCATCGTCGGAAAACACTGATTTATATTAATAGATTCGAAACAAAATATTGGACATATTGCAGTCTATATCTAAAATCGAAGTTGGTCCTAATTATAATTGCTCGACGAGAGACCCGTGCCACCCCGATACAATAGAAACTCGCTTATTGTAAGACATACAATGAACAAGAAGAGACCATCCTTTCCACTTGCCAACGCGCCGCAATGAACGAGGCTCTCGTGCAATAATCGAGGTTTCACCGTAATTGGAGTTTGGAACTCCAATAAGGAGACAAGACATTGAGTTTCTGAACTAAGATTTTAAAACTGTAGCTTCTTCCAGCCGATTGCTCCGACCAAGGTATCCACACCCTCCGGTTCCTCCTGTCTCTTAGTTCTAAGCACAACAGTCTTAGACATAATAGTCTTAAAAAGTATTAGACAACATTTTCGTACAGCGTCAAACTTAGTTATGAAAAATCGAAAACGAATTTTTAACAAAAATCGGCAGGGCGTAGGTGGCTAATTTTTTGGTGAAAAAAGAAATTTTCAAATCGTTCTAAAAAAATTATTTTTAGTTGCGGGGGCCAATTACAATAATTTTTGGTGAATATACATGCCCCCGAAATCTTGCACACATTCGAGAAAAAAATTCGAGCAGGTCAGAAATTTTTCGGCGAAATTAAAAAATTTCAAATCGTTCTGAAAAAATTATTCTTAGCTAGAGAGGTCAATTGCAATCATTTTTTATCATTATACGAACCCATGAATTCCTACGCACTTTCGAGAAAAAAATTCCTTACCGCAAATATAATGTCTGATCAGTGAGCAGGAATGTTCTACTGAAATGTCATGCGTATCTTTAAAACATCGTAACTTTTGAATGGATGGGGGGATTTTAATGTTTCAAAATGGAAACGACGCGTATTTTGGTGAAGAATATGTAGAAATTCTAAGAATGTTCGATAAGTTGTTGCTTCAAATTGCAATGGAAATTTGTAGTACTGTACGGTTCCTTATCTGTTGTAGGTGTCCGCGGGTCAGCATATGCAGCTTACTGGAGACCTGAAGCCAGGCGTGACCGTGGCCGCTCAACAGGGGATGTACTTTAACCAGCAACAAAGCCAAAATCAGTCTGGACCCGGTGGCCAGACGGATCAGACGTATTGCTCGGTCTCGCAGTCTCAGACCATAAACTTCACTCAACAAAGTCTGAGGCAGAGAGCGGCGGCCGCAGCAGCTAGTGGCGTTGCTCAACCCGCCGGTGCACCCGGTGCACGAAGTCATCCTCAACAAGTACCGCCGAATCAAGTGGATCAACATCACCACGCGAAGCTCCTGCAGCAACAGCAGCTGATGCGCACTCAGCAGGTACGTGGTTCCTGATCGATCGCTCGAATATTTTGTGCGTTTATTGCGTCCCGGGGGCGTGAACGCGGTGGTTTATGGTTTAATTACCTAATGGCAGTGAACGATGGTTATCTATGGTAATACGAATGGTATTTCGCTTCTACCGGGTGGTGGACGCCATACGGTTCCAATGTTATCCTAGGAATGCGCCGCGACGACACTTTTGCCGTCGGACAAATATTTTATCGCTGGACAAGATATAATCATCTGACTGTTTAAATAAGCTAACATCGTTGTAATCTTTATTGCAATAACGCCCAAGCTTGGTATTAAATTAACTTACTTTTTGTCGAGGAACTTTCAACGACCGGAAGTTTCACGCATAAAAATTTCCTAACTAACCTTATGAGCTTGATAACCGCAATTATCTTCGCTAAACTTTAAGAGACCGTGATTATCACCTCAATTGATGCTTAGATGACTAAGAAGTATGAGATCGGTGCTGTTACCCAATATTAATCTATGATAGTCGGCATAAAAGACATGATCCGTTATTTGAAAATTGAAAAAAACCCATTCGCGCAAAATCATCCAGTTTGACGGCTCCTATGTTAATATATATTTAGTTTCATTTACTTATTGTTAGAATCAATTCGTAAATAAAATCCTGCCGGCCTGTGTCATTCACCTTTGGAATGCACCGGTTATTACTGTAGTTCGCTTAGGATTGTCCTGAACTATGATCACGTTAGGTTTACGTTATGTAAATTAGGTAAAACGAACGGAGCAGCAGAGGTTCTAAAAAGGCATTAAAAAATGATTATCCCATGCAAAGGAACATGGAAACACGATTTATTTTCGAACACTGATCTCGTCAGGGCAGCGTTAAATGAGGAAACTTAATTGAACTGAAATCTTTGTGGAAATAACAAATCGGAGGAAACTTAATTGGACCCCAATCGTTGCTAGAAATAACGGATGAAACCCTGCGACTTGGAGAAGCACGATACCAAAATATCACGAAACATCCGGATCTAACAATAAGAGAAATAATTTATACGACCATAGTGTTCACGCAATGACTCTCTCTGGCTTCGGTGTATCGATTCTACCAGGGATTCTCAACGACGACCATGTGCCCTCCCCCCCAGAGAGCCACGACTGAAATATGTAGAAAATGGGACGCCACAGTTCTTAATTCGAGCTACGAAAAATATTACAAAAAAATGTTGTAACAATACTGTACGTAGAAACGTGTCGTTAAGATCGGGGTTAGCGGAGGAACTCAAAGTAAATTCTAATGTTTTTAAATAACAGAATGGGGTGTTAAATTTTGCAGAGAAGAGTGATAAGAGGTCCATGAATTGGGGTAAGGTTGAGAAACCCTGGATTATACGATTCGTTTGGTCGCACGACGCGAGCTGGGCGGCGCCGAGACGCGGGTCGAATTGATCCGAGCTCGTTCTCCTTTCGGTGAAATCGCGATTCGGATGTGTCGGTCCTCCGGCTGACGCTAACGGCGCTGTGCACCGGAAGCGTTCGTTCCCGGGACGGCGATCGAGCGATTATCATGCGGCGGAAAAGATTGCGACACGATATCGTCGGTGGCGCATTATCCGAAACATTAAGTTTCGTATCCGGCGGTTGAGTCGTTCCCGCGATGCTCGCGTGCAACAGGTATCGCAGCTCCTTTGCAACTTCTGTTCCATCGTGCTGAAAGAAGCGGCACAAATAGGAACGAGCTTCTTGGGGGCCGCGGAACAATGAATGGAAACTTTTTCCGTGACCGGGAAATCTGCGGTCGCGTGCACTTCCTGGGGAAAAGGCGTCGTCCAAACGATGTTGCATACACGGCTATCGTGACTTTCCTTTCTTACGGCGCGCAAGGTGTGTCGTTTATCTCGATCCACTTGGCGTCCAAAGAGAAACCTTAGTTTTCGAGTTTGGCGTAAATTAATTCGAGATTATCGAATGTAACGAAGGCTTGAAGGCGAATTACGTAATCGAGTCTGTTGTATTTTGTATTATGTAAATAGTCGTCGAAACGTTTAAAACGGAGATGCGTGCGTCCAGCTTATTTCGGTGTTGCAGACTCCGCGCGAACATATTATTTTCGCACCCTTGCCCGCATCGCATTATACTGTTTGGGGCTTTCAATTTTTACCGACGCGTAAACTGATTGCCCTTTGTGTCGTGGCAAAAAAAAAGGGGGACGATGTTTTTTTACCGCGACGTTGTTCCAGATTACCCAAGGTATAATGTAACGCCGGCAGCTTTGTAATCAGTCAACATTTGCATGCAGTCATTTACATCTTGTCCAGCACAGTGTTCTTCATCTTTTATGCATTTCCAATTTGCATCCGAAGAAACTGTGTCCGCGAACCCCAATTACTATCGCTGAATCGTCGTCTTCCACGAATTATCCCTTCATACGGTCTTTCGTCGGAGTATCGAGAAAGTGTGACAAAATTGATTTAAAATTGTCATCGGCTCGTCTTGTCCTTACTTATGAATCCTCATCCGGCAATCGATACACCAATTTCAAGTTTCGGATAACGTAACGTTAGTGGTTTTATTGACGGTAATAACTTTTGAAACGTGTTCGAATCGCTGCTCGAAATAATTAACAGATTTCTGCGTACAGTGCTATCCGCTCGGGGTTACCGCGGATACAGTTAATAAAGTTTCGAGAAACAAAACTGTGTATCGAGTTTCTCCCATAGAAATGCCTGCACGAAGAAATCTGCTCGTTTAACGGCACGATGTTATCGTCGATTCGCTGATCGGCAGTCGCTGCAGTCACGTTGCTGCTCGCGAACATGCGACACGATTTATTAACGAATGACTCAGTTGTAATACAACCATTGCTTTAACAACGTTAAGGTATCGAAGGCAGCTCTCCGATCGTGCTCCAGTTACTAATTGTACGTTTCGCGCAATTGGTTAGTCATCTCCCGTCACCGTCGACCTTCCGTTTCATTCATCGTTTCTCTCTTTACGTATCGGCCCTTTTCTCGCTCTAAATCGCGCGCGTTGCATTCGCGAATACGTCGCGATACGATTCTTATTATTATTTTCTAATCAAACTTAAATATAATCAATATTTTTTAATAGCCTGACACCGTTATCAGGGGATTTTTAAACGTATTTTTCTGTAGAAGAATATGTTCTCCCTTACTTTACCTTACCGGTAGGTCGAAAAGCAAAAACGAGTGCACTCGATCGATCGTTCGTTCGAAGAGTAGTGATAACGAAACTGACCGGCTGACCCGATGCATAGTCCCGTATCTATTTTAATCCATTAGGATAGTTAACGTGCAGCATGCTGCCGGATGCAGTAGCCGTGTTTGCCCGAGTTCGAGGAACTCGGGGATCTAGGAATCCGTGATCGACGTTATTATCGAGGTATGACGGCGTCGTTCGATCTCCGGAATTCGTTACAGCTAAGTTTTTGGTGAACATTTGGTATCACGGTTTCGTTAATTTTCATTTTTATTGCTTCTTTTTAAAATGTTCTATTTCCAAACGAATCTAGAGATATAAATGAATATCAAAGGCGAAGGGATATTACGATATAACTTCGTACATATATTTGTAGTTGTAATAATATATACAATTAATTTGTAGAACTATCAGTCTATGCATTTGCAAGTGCAAACGTCTGTTTTACGACTCTATTGAGTCCAATTGTCGACAAGGAGTGCCAGTCGTGTTGCTCCTGTATACAAATATACTCGGTGTTCTTTTATTTACATTTGAAAAACTTTGACAGTATCGTATACTAAACTCTTAACGTTCAATGATCGACCATAGTAGAATTTCCGAGTGAAAAGCAACGTTTAAAAAATCATTCGCGCAGACAATTATCTATTCGTTTCCGACAGTTTTCCAATTAAACGAGTCTGATCACAATGGTACCGCAGCTGCAAAGATTCGTAACCCTCTAACAATTCTCTCCGCTCATGATAAACTAATCACGAAGATCAGTCGTGTCTGTAATTACCGTGAGAACGTTTCCTCGGCTGCCTAACGAAACGGTAGCTCGCAAAACGAGCAAGGTTTTGCCGCTCGTCGACCAAATCGGTCGATCTTTCTGCGCTTCGACCACAATTCCGTCGACTATCCGATCGTTCTCGCCAAAAAGGAGCCCAGAATTCGATTACGTTTACGAGTATGCGACCCACGGAAGCGTTCCCTTTCTCTACCGCGCGAATCAATGGGAAAACGACGCGCGAAATTGCTACGTGCCGATTCCAAGGATGGCTTGCTTCCTCCGTCGAGGCCCCGCGAGAGCAACAGGGCGGCGTTCGCCTAATCCAGTGATTCTTTACCCTCCGTTTCAGCGTTTATCGTGCCAAAATTTAAGAAACAAGCCCCGATAAAAAAGAAATTGGACAACGATCTTTCCTTTCGTAGCAAATTATTTGCCTCGCGTTGCATTTTACAAGAATATTCTATAGAACGAAGGGAACGGTTTCGACTACGGTTGCTACGACACAACCTTAGGAGCAAATCAGCAATATTTGCAATGTAGTCCGTTCACGCTAACTGTGTTCACCAACTGTGGTCGTCAAAGACTTGGAAGGTAATTTTCGCCAATACTATTAGTAAGTTGTTAGACTTCGTACCGTGGTGCTTACGAATCACGAGGATGCAAATACGCAGCTCGTTTACAGTTTCTGCGGGGGAATATCAACAGTCCTGTCCATACTTTAGTAACCAGGACCACGGTTTACCATATTTAATAAAAATTCTGGATCGTTGATGACCCACATAGCCTACGGAACAAGTAAACTTGGCACGATACGAGTTGAATAAATGGCGCGTTCCGGGCGATGCAATCGTCGATCTAGGCTTCGAAGCGTTTTAACGGAGAGAAAGAGGTCGAGATAGGAGGGTTCGCGAGAGGGGGGGCTGGGAGAAAATGCGAGAGAAGGTATCCTTATAGTCGGTAACGAGGAAAACGGTGGCCAGAGTCTCTGGTTGCCTTCCGTCACTGTCGCCTTCATTGTCGTCGCGTTCGTAGCCTTTCGGTTGCGTCCGCGTAACACCAGGAAGTGGAAACGCAATCCACTCGAGAAGGGGGGGAGGAAAGGGACTTGTGCAACGACACCGATGGTCGAAACTTCCGTGGTCGCCGGCTCGACGACAATGCGGCTCGCAACGAGTCATCGATGCATGCCGCGCTCAGAGTCGCAATTATTCCTTCGGAATCTGTCGGTCGGCTTTCTAACTCGCTTCTATCATTGTCCGTGCCTTACGAGCCGAATCTACTCGTTCTCGTTCACTGCGCTCGCCGGTTCGCCGTGGCGCGCAGTATTCAACGGGTGCTCCTAAGGTTCTCGGGATCCAAGAAATCGAAGATGGTTTCGTTGCACCGGCGTTTCCCCGAACCCAACGACCCTCGACGAAATCCCTTTCGGGGCCAACGCCTCGAAGAATAGAATAGAAACGCGGATCTCGATCCAGCAACCCCGCGAAACCGGCTCTCTCGTTCTATTTAAAATCTATATACGAAACGTTTTCACACGTAATTCGCGAGTAGCGCAACAACCGCGTAGATTAACGTTCGAAACACGAGACGTCGAGTAATTGAAATCTATTGTTCGTTTATGTTCCAGGTGATGCAACAGCAACAGCACATGGCCGGAGGAATGGGAGGCGTGAGACCACCGCCTCCCGAATACAAAACGGCGGCTCAGGCCCAAATGATACACGCTGGTATCGGCATGGGTCAGCAGCCAAGGTTTCCCAATACCGGGCCTATGCGCAGGGTTACGCAACAACCTATGCCACCTTCAGGTTGGTACATCGATACCATCGAGAATGCCCAGTCTACGTCTCTTTAATCCTAATCCCTATATACATTATGTAGATACGCATTGGAAAAATTGAAATTGTAATCCCGGTCCTCATAGAATTTTCATGACCCGGCTCTCTTGCGACTTCTCTTTTTACTCGCCTGTAACGACTAATCGATTACTCCTGAACCAAGTAATTTATCACCGACGAATATCTACTTTACCCCACTAAATAATAGCGTTCTTGATATTCTTGCTTCGTTCTGGAACGTAAATATATCGGAAGGCACTTTAACGAATAATTATCTCATACATGTCAATGTAATTATGTAAAAATTTATGCAATCCTCAATTAGTTCATTATTTTTTAAATGCTTCAAGTTGATTTCCATTTACCAATTTGGCCAAAATCAACATTAAGCAAAATGATTCTGTTGAGATTGAGAGTCCACTTAAGTATTTGTATCGATATTTTGTAATGTCTGCCTTTCTTTTACACATAAATTTCGAATCCCCGGGCAAATCGCTTCGAGTAAGTCGAAAACGAGTGACGTGTGAATTTGCAAACGCGTCGATTTACACTTGAAAACGACTGACCAAGCAGGCACGTGTACTTTCGAAAAAAGAGTGGAAATCAAACGCGGCGGCGCTCGTAGGCGGTCTTCCGTTTTGCTTTTTACGTTGAAAGTGGCGACGGTACGTCACTTTCATATACGCTGGCCAGAGTCGGAAGGCACTTAGGCTAATGAGAATCCGGGTCTGCTATCGATTCTTTCATCTTCTCGTCGAAACTGGGAATGGCTCTTTCGGTGTGTGTCCGTCGTCGTTTGATTCTTTGATTCCTCGCGCTTTTTTTTTATTTATCGGCTGATAAACCGACGAAGATTAAGTGGACAAAATTCGCTTGGAAAATCGTATAAGTTTACGACAAGCTCGCGAAACGATTGTCAAATTTCTATAATATGTACAGATTCTTTTTCAACGTATCCGTGAACCGGGAATTCTTAATCTGATTTCATCGAGAGATCGTTGTACCACTTTCTAATTCTCTACCGTATTCTAAACGCAGCGGATGAAATCTTGGGAATCGTAGTTTACTGTTTCTTTAAATTCTCGCTCGAATTACGTTGGTCCGTCGGACGAATCAGAGATTCTGTAGAAGTTCGAGACGGATGAAGAAACGCGTCACCGGATGCTACGAGCGCCTCGTATTAGAAAACTGCCACGAAAACGAGGATGTCGAAGCTGTAGGTAAAATAATAAAAAAACAGAAAACACTGGTCGTTCGCTCGAGACGATTGTAATAGAAAATAATTCTGATTTTCGAACGAAGCAAGTATTACGACGAATAATCGTGAAAAAATATTAGACGAACATAGTTCGAACAATGTTTAGACGGTTCTTAACCGTTGGTTAGACGAGTATTCGGGGGAAATGAACTCGATCTCTCGCTGGATCCGCTCCAGACCAGAAAGAAAGAACGCGAACGGGATAGTGAAGCGTAGGGAGGGGGGTCGTAAATATCCTTATACACCGTACCCCATACGAGACTCCTATCGATCCGCCCGGAGCTACTTTCATAAGATTCTATCCAAACGAAAATCCACAGAGCAGTTTCGCGGCGAGTTTCATCCGCAATACGCGTATATCCTCGCGTGTCCGACTAGCTTGAATGAAACGACGTTTCCCCGCGGTCGCTGACTGTCCTCCTCGATTAAATCTTGCGTTGGGACCAAGACGTGCCCCTGGGTGCAATTTTGTAACATCAGAAACAGATATCCTTAACGTTTGCTAGTTGCAAAGGAATATCGTCGACCAGAGTACTGCAGGATCAAAGAGGATCTTCGGACTTCCATGGAACTGAATATCGATACATCGACCGTTCCTTGGAAGACCGTGTCTGCGAGCGATTTAAATTGCAGGGTCATTAATGCTGTCTTCTTGTTACTGTAGGTCCGATGATGAGGCCGCAAATGGCGCAACAGCAGCAACAAGCGTTGCACGCAGCCGGTGGCAATATGTACATGAGCGGCGGCGGTATGGCCGCCATCGGCGGCATGCATCAGATGCATCAGCGTCTCGGATATCCTAGGACTAATAATCAACGGCCGCCTAACGTCAGTGTCGGTCCGCCCGACGGCCTTGGGAATAGCATCGCGGGCCGCGGCGCTCAGCAGGAGTGGCGACACGTTCTGATGCAGCAGCAGGGCTTTCAAGTACAGATGCGATCGCAATTCAACCAACAAGGTCACCAAGGTGAGCGTCCAGTAGTTCTGCACAAAGCTTCTGACAAAGGAACCACTCAATTTCAACCTCCTGCGAGACGACAGATTACAAGTCCCAATTGCCGCCCGCAAATAATTTTAGAAATAATTTAATCCCTTTTTATTAATTGAAATATCGAAATATCTGTGATCCACCGATCTGCAAAAGTAGTTCGTAGCGTGGACTGGATTCGCGATAAAAAATCTAGCTTTCTCGTTGGTTTAGAGATTTAGAAATTTGCGTCTCGCGATGACGGTGTTTCGAGAAAACGGGGATATGATTTATCGTTGACGCGCGAGTAACTGAATCGCGTTAAACCGTTCGACTCGCTTTTGTTTTTGTAGGTGGGTTCGGAATGGGCGGTACGGGCGGAATGCAGATGAACGCCGCACAGATGCAGCATCAACAGCTGATTCGCTCGCAGAGTGGCGGTATTGCTGGATCCGGTATGGCGAACAGCACTCAGATGCAGCAACTACTGTCGCAGCAACACCAGCAGCAGACATTAGCCATGCAGCAGAGTAATAATCAGATGTCACTGCAGATGCAAATGTCGCAGTCCTCGTCAGTCAACTCTGTCAGCAGTACCGGCACGGGTAAGTCTTGGCCAATCATCATTCTGCCGTCTCTATCTTCGAGACAACGATCACCGAGAGAGTTTTCGAACGAACGGAGAAAGGAAAAAGAATTTTCTTTAAGGCGTCATTAATTATCAGTTGCACGGAGATTTCGTGATTCGTTGAAAAATAATAGTATACCACATAAATAAACAATTTATGATCCAGTTTTATCGCACACCAGTCGTATAATCAATAGGAATTGTTGAAACTTTTTTAGGTATGTAACGTCAAAGTAAATGTGAAAATAAACATAGAAGGCAGCATAAATTATAATGATTTATATGCTCATTGGATAGGGGATGAAATGCCCTTTAAAATGAGCGTTCGAACGAGTCGATAGCTTTATTAGTTTCGGAGATATAGCGGTTTTAGTTTCAATTCGATGCGGTGGCTAGTTCCGGAGATATAAGGGTCCGAAGTTTGTTTACTTTTTCGCTACGGCCTTGCCAAGGTCGTTGACCGCACGTGCTCGTAGTAACTAGGTCACTCGGCCACTCGGTCACGAGTCACGTACGAGAAAGAGAGGTCCGGCGCGACGCGTCAGACGGAGACAGAGATAGTCGAATTAGAAAAATTACCCCTTTACATAAATTACGATATCTCGGAAACGAAAAGTCGGATCGCCAAAAACCAAAAGCCATTTCGAAGAGGAAGGTTTACCGCTTCCAACGATGGCTCAATAATCATATGAACACTAATAGTTTCGGAACTGCACGCGTCTAAAGTTTTGGTATTTTTAATACGCGTTGTTAGACCGTTTTAAGACAGTGGAAACTGAAGATTCTCTCCTTTTGTACATATATTTCCTGTTTACATCGGAAGCTAACCAGAATTTGGTACCGAATTTTGTCCAGTTTTTTGCAAAAAAGCATAAATCATTCAACCAGTCAGATGACCGAAAAATGGTAAAACGAAAAGCGATATTTGACAATTATTTTTACAGGACAAGGGTTTCATCAAGCTTTTCGCCACTTTCCACATATATTCTTTAAAATTTCAACATACAACTATTTTTTGTTCGTTACGTTTTATCGATTTTGGATGAAATGATAAATGTTATTCCTTATGTCGATGGCGTTGATCAACGTGCAGCCTAGCATTTTTTTCCTTCGTCCTAGAATAAAAAATCCAACGACATGTTTATTGCATAATTAAATGAGAAAAAGATCATCGACATATGGAATACCATTTATTATCTCGTCCAAAGTCGACAAACCGTTATGCTGTAAAAAGATCGTCAAATATCGCTTCTCGTTGTACCATTTTACACGAGTCTCCCCCCTTAAAGCTCAGCAACCCTTATTTTACCAGCTTCTACGGTGTCTTGTGCGACAAAGGGTGTCCTCCAACGTGTTGTAATAATAATAAAACCAATTTTCAGGTTCGCCGCTGCACCCGCACCAACAATACGGCGCGGGTAGTCCGGGTGTGCGCAGCCTGCCGCAACAACAACACGCGCAACCGCCTAGCGCCGCGACGGATCCGTCTGTAGCCGCCGCGGACTTCAGCCTCGAGTTTCTGGAGAACCTGCCAGCCGGTGACACGTCGAACTTCAGCGCTCAGGAGCTCCTGAATTCCCTCGACTCCACGGCGAGCTTCAACCTCGATATTCTGTAAGGCCACGCCTCTCGCGGTCTATTCGGGAATCGCATATAACCAGGCCGGTTAAAAACGACGCGGACCAACGTCGGGGGGGATCGATCAACCCCCGCGGAGACGCGGGCGCGACGATATCGACGGAGCCTCTGGTCGCGTATCGTGCGTCGATTCGCGTTCCTCGAGATCGACGAGTCCACGCGGAACAAGATCGTCGCGTCTCGAATCTCGCTCAGGGAACAAGAGGAAACGAACCCCGTTGGGGGTGGGCCTCGTCGAGGGCGGGAAATCGCGAAAAAAAAAGAGAAACGAAGTTATAGATTCTCCGCGCGTCGCTCGAAACGATCCGTTCGATGTCTATATCGTTTTGGGGGTACGTTCGATCCCATCCGCGTCAAATAGTTACGAATAGCAGAAGCATCCTCTTCGGGAGCAAGAGAACGCGAACGAGTCCCGGCGTGGACGATCGTCGTCGTCCGTCAGCGGCGTCGGATGGACGTGTTTGGGCAACCGGTTCGACGTCGCGCGACCCACGGACACCAACCGGTCGTAGCTAGCATTTTCGGCAGCTAACTCTCCAGGCTGGCGACTATTCTTTCTAGGCAATCACGTTTTAGGTAAAATTGAATTTCTTCTAACGGTAACCGATCCGAAGCAGCGGGGGACATGAACCGAGAGAGAGCAGCGTGGGAAATCAAGAGTGACACGCGCGCTCGTGTTCGTGTTCGTGTTCGCCACGGTCATTTTTCTAACAGCCACGTCGAACCTCGGGTTCGATTCCGCCCCCGATCTTTTCCCTCGTCCCTTCCCCCCCGTGAATTATGGCCAGCTGGCCGTCCAGGAGGGGAGGATCGATCAATTCTTCGAGTGCACGCGTCGACGACACTGCGCCTGGTGACTTCGACGGGCACTCCGAACGGAAACGGACGAGACTTCTCTTGATTTTTCACGCGGCAGTACGGCGACGACGCTCTGGCGAACGTAATCGCGGTACGAAATAACCGTCGCGAACGATACTGTCGTTCGAGGACGCTTTCGAACGCCGCGCGTCGCCGAGGAGGTTCGATTCGCGGCTGAACAACGTTATCGATAACGGCTAGAACGTAGTGTATTTAATGATGCCGCGACGGCGTATTCTACAATTAAACAGAAAGTCAATTATGAGATATATATTCGATTCGATGAATCCCGCGGCCTGTAACGGGCGCCGGGGGTCGGTGCCGATTAGATCGGTCACGCGGTAGGGTTCGCGTCGTGTTCGACGATGAAGAAACTGAGAGAGAATGAGAGAGCGGGAGAGAAAGATAGATAGAGAGATAGATAGAGAGAGTGACAAACCCTTCCTAAGAACGCGGTGTTAGCGTTGCGGGGATAAATTAAAATCTTGACTGTACATAGGTATACAAGTTAGAAGGAGAAACGTTTTCGAGACGATGGGATCTCGCAAAGTTTAGCCGATTAAAGTTAAGGATAAAAAACCGTATGATATAGGTGAATATTATAATGATAATAGTAATTGATAACGGTTGTTGCGCGAGACGAGCAAATGGCCAGGTAGAAAGGGGAATGCCAGGGAACGAGTGACGATGCGTGTTCGGGCGACGGAGCACATTTCCACGATCGAGTGTGTATTTATTCAGTTTAGTTACGATAAATGTGCCGCGTCGCCGCGTCAATGTTGCACACAAATAATCACGGTGAGGTGAGGAGGCCGTTCTTGGGCGCGACGAACCCGATGTCTCGGGCGGACGTTACGGTCGGACCGGAACTCGATCGCTCGAGGCCACTTCCCCCCGCTACAAATCGCTACCAATTCGACTTTCGCGCCGTGCCGGCTTTCCTCGCTCGAATACAGAGGGCCTGCGTTGTGGTGGGGGTAACCAAGCGGTATGGTGGGGGTAGCTCCTCGGTGACCTCGAGAAACCAACCGATTTCGCACCGATCGTCGTTCCTTTCTTTTGGCGTTTCCGTCGCGTGGCGACGGGTTCGTCGACGACCCGGACGGCGGATCCGCGACTAATCTTCCAAATAGTGATACATTCCATAGATAAAGAAAAAGAAAAAAAAAGAAAACGAGTAGGAATCCACGGTTCGTCTAATCAAAACTATTGTTTCTAAAAGAAAGAGAGGAGAAGAGAAGTCAGGGCAGAGAAGGGTCTTTTTTTCGATCGACATATATGGGTGAAAGCGTCGCGAAAGTTGAAACGCGTGCTAGCCGTGCATTCGTGCAGGGACACGCGTTAGGACAGCGCTGAGATACACGCGAGAGATGAATACAGGAGAAAAAGTATCCTCCACCGTTCGCCGAAAGTGTGCACGAATAATTCCGATTCGGAGTTTCGCTTGTCACGATACATAAGTATAATTATACTCGCGCTCGAGAGACAGAGAGAGAAAGAGAGAGAGAGAGAGAGAGAGAGAGAGAAAGATAGTGTGCGTGTGTGTATGTCGCGCGAAATTAGAAGAGTATATAATCGTTTTTTTTTTTGTTTTTTTAAAGAAAAGAAATTCTCATCGGGCGGAGCGACGACGCGTTATTATTGTCTTGTAAAATATTGGGGCCACGAAACATAATCTAAACAACAAAAACGATAAAAACGAAAACAACAAAAAAAAAAAGAAATGATAAAAATAAAGATGGGAAGGAGAGATGGGTGCTCTAATTCTCATGTCGATGTGAACACCGTGTTATGTAAATCGAGAACTACTCTACGGGAAGAGAGGAAACGTAAAGTCGCCGTATGTTCCGTTCTCTTTATGTTTTGTTTTGAGGAATATCATTTTTCTATTATGCGTTTCGTGTACGAGGGAAGGAGAGACGGAGGCGTTGGGCGAAAGATAGGCGAGTAGAAACGAAAAGGGAGACGGAGCTGTCCTCGCTGGAAGAGAGCATTAGGGACCAACCAAACCGGAGAGCAACAAGCGTGTGCTTGGCGATGTCGATTGTCACGGTGGATCGTTCTTCGCTTTTTTTCTTCTTTTTACACGTCGAGTCGAGGGAACACGGAGAAAGTAATAGCAGTGCCTCGAGTTATTCGTGACCGATCACCGACGTTCTGTCGATCGAGAGATCCGCATAGTCGGAGAAAGAGAACCGGAAGCGAACGGTAACGCAAGGCGACGATAACGCTGGCGATCGCACTGTTTTCTCTAACAGATCGAACGACGTGCATACGGGCCAGAATTCGTTGCTAATACGACTGAAATTAATCGATCGACTTCGGCGTGATTGCACGTAGGAAAATATTCGGTAAGTAATTTCTTTGATGAAGCAAATTCTTCTATAACCAAAATTATATTTTACTTCTGGAAAGAATTCTACGATAGATCTATTGACAAACACTAACGATGGGACAGAAGTTGAAAGGTAAAGTTCAATAAAGTGTAACTTTTGACTGTACCCGCTCTGGTGTGAAAAATTGTAGAGTAGTTGGACTCTTATTGTTCGTGGACGTACTATTACTTTAAAATCACGATCGATACATATTGACAGGATTAAAAAAGACTTGAAGAATGTAGATAAATAGTATGTGATCGTCAGAGTTCACGCGGGGTTATAGAGAGTTAACGTTGAGAAGAATACGAGTGACTTGGCTCTTGTATAGCAGTATTCGAGAAATCTTATTGTAAGTTATTCTATGATACGTTTTAGAGGATTTTTTTTTTACATTAATTATAATTTAATTATTTAACGTTTGTGTAGAGGAATTGCCCGAATGCAATTGGTTTACGTACTTTCGTTAGAAATTAACGTTAGAAATTAAGTCTTATATTCGTTGTTGATCTGCTTTATTTTCTTGTTACAAGTTATAGATATACTTTTTAAAGTCATTGTTAAAATTAATTATTTGGCATGCGCGGAATTATTTTTCCATTTCTTGTTTGCTACGACTCTTACAACGACAAGTAAATGAATACAAATATTTCAGTTATGGTTATTGCATCATTTATAATGTTTCTATTTTAGGATGTACTGTTTAATAATGTCAAAGTTTAAGAAAAAGGTCTGTCTGTTCGTATAATGCAAGCGCATACATATGTACGTAAGTTCTTCAATTGTTTCTGCATGTTATAATTATTCCTCGTGTAATAAGTTATTTAAAACAATGTTTAAGACTTGTTGGATAAAATACTGCACTGCTGGGAATTAGAGATCAATTAACAATTAGTTCTGCCGCGTTACGAACGAATGCATAAATATAATTTCACCCGCTTGCATAATATGAACGGTTTACTTCGTAAACTTTGACATTTATAGGATAAACTATTGCGTTGTAAAATAGAATCAAACAGAAACAATAACTACAGTTGAAATATCAGTATCTGTTAATTTATCCCCGACAGTTTAAGCAAACAGAAGATGAAAACAATTACGTATCCGATCCAGAACTCCTATGTACGCGCTGGTAGAAATTACTAAAGACGATTTTAATTAAGGGCAAGGGCAAGACTCTTTGCGGTAGAAAAATTTGAATAATCTTGAGATCTTTTGCGAACGGGGATTGTCGAAGAGACCAGTGGTTAGCCAAGAAAACCACTATAAAAATGTAATATTAATCGCTACGCTTAAAAAAATTACTCTTATCGAATGGTTCGCTGCGTGTAATATTCTCTGAAATCGATAAATTAATTTTAACAAGCTGCGATTGAATTCTGGTCCCACTGTGCGACGATTAGATAGCAAACGTCGGTTTCAGCCGAGAAGCGAATGGGTTCCGGGGTGCGTTTGCACCTCGATTAATTTATAATATTTATAACTTTATACGATACACGGGCATTTCGCATAGAATAAGAAGTTCCAATGTTGAATCTCGAACTGTTATTAATAAAAAGCGTTGAGTTCCTACAATCGTTTCTTTACTACTGAATTATCATCCGGATGCTCGCGTTTCGTCGATCCATTTCTAACGAACAGACCAAAGAAAAATAGGAAAGGAATACCCATGGACGACGCGATAAGATTCTTTCGATAATTTGAAGCGTGTTGTGCGCGTTCCAACGACCGTAATATTTTCGAGAGAAGGATGTATCTTCGTGCGAAAATAGACGAAACGTTTATTTGATCGATCGATCAAATTTCAGCTACCTGCCTTGGCAACTGTCGCGGCAGAGAGTTAGTTTTCTCGATAACGTCGTAGAGAAATATTTTATTTCACGCGTTTGACTTATTTTTGCATAAAGAATCGTTCCGTTCTCGGTTGTGGTACGATTAATGGGACGCTCTGTATACACAGGAGGCGGCTATAAACGTCGAATTGTCCGCGCTATTTACCGGGCCCGTAACTTCGCTAATTGTCGGGTCGCGTTCAACCCGCGACAAATCAGAGCGCTCGTTGCAATGGATTTCGACGTCGGTTATTTACAGACCGAAAATAATCGAACCGTTCTCCCAGAAGGGATAGCAGAGACAACGGCCAGCGAATCGCATCGATCGGTTCGCGATCAAACGTTTCCTTCCATTACGTTTCACGAAATTTTCCATCGCCGTCCGGGCGGTCTTCGACCACGTACCCGGTGTTTCCACGTAAAGAGCTGTGCCAACGCGTCTTATACGTATCTCGTGTAAACTTTGGTCCAAATTTACGAGAAAGTTGTAAGAAAATTGTTAAAGAGCGTGCAAGAGGATTGCTCGTACATTGTAATGTAGGAATAGATCGATGTTTAATCTGTTTACCATTTATCTGCATTTACTGTTTTTTACCTGGAACGAAAGACCGACATTTTTAAATGGAAAATTGTTACGCAAGGCATTCCTAGAATGAACGATGATTTTTCAAAATCTTCAGCGTGCATAATTTTCAAGAACTCTGACAAGAACCATCGACAAACCTACATTTGATCGCTTAGTTTAGGAAGACCATATACAATTTTCATTCTCATAGTTGTGTGTTTGCAGGATACGAAAAGAAGTTGTAATCAACAGCAGCTTTATTAGAAAGTTTTCGATCTCAGATACTCGATCCTCTTCTTAGGTCTCCGCTATCATCTTCTTTTTGCTTCTTTTCTTTCAGTGCAATTGATCGGGAAACACTCGTAATATCGTCGACGTAGTTTCGCGATGGCGGTTTCGAGGCTCCGGGGAGACGCTTCCGTGTTTTTTGGTGCAAGTGTCGCTGAAAAATTCAGATGCGCGGCGATCGATCGAGAAAAACTGGAAAGGGAATCTCCGTTAAGAGTCGGTGGCGACGCACGCGAGCCACCCACGCGCCGCGAACGATAATCCTACCGAAACTTCACTCATTATCGATTCCTTCGAGCCTGTTGTTGCTAAGCGGATTCTCAACGCTCGAAACTAATCCCCACCTCCTCCTCCTCACCTCCCCGGTACGCCTCGAATCGTAGTTACGTTCCTATTAACCTGGTCGCTGGGGGTTCCTGGCGTCGCTTACCACCCGGTGGGTTCGAAGCAGCCCGTCGAAACGGGGATCCCATTGTTTTTCGAAGTCGTTCCGCGGCATCTCCGTCGGCGCGACGGTTCAACACTAGGTCGAACAGCGGCCTAACGCGTAGTCACGACGAGGCGGGGGCGAAGGATCAATATCACGGTTAGGGAGAGACCGGACTGAAAATAGGAGCGAGAGTAGGAGCATCGCGATGAGGGATAAGGATTACCAGGAGAGGAGCGAGAAGAGAAACAGAGAGGGGAAACGCCGAAAATGTCGAGTCGTCGTCCTGGCTCCTCGTGAAATTACCAACGAAACGAGGGGGTGGCCGTGGGTCGTGGCCAATTTACGCAAACTTTCACGTAACGTCGGTTTACGGTCGAGTTTTAGAGGATGATCAGCGCACGCGGGGTTCAAGGATTCTTGTTAACTCGGGGCTCTAATTACCCGATTCGAACGATGATTCGAGCTTCGAATACCTTCGCGGAACAAGTTGAATTCAGCCTTTTGAGTTTTGAACATTTCTCTGTCTGGTTTTAACCCACTGCTGATTGAATTGAGGATCGTGGGGTGTCTTCGATTGAATCAGGTTCATGTTCTGCGTTCCAAGTGGAATTAGTGCACATAAATTTTGTAGGATCAACGGAAACTCCGTTTGGTGTTAACGATGATTCGTTCGAGGCCAAGTTAACTCTGTTTTTTAGGCACAGTCGAATGTCAGACGGTTCAGAGGGTCGAGTAAAAGTCGAGCGAGGGTTTTGCAGGATCGGTAGGCGCGAAGCTGGGTTTCATTGATCCAATGCGCAAGCACAACGACGATCCACTGGCCGACATCGACGCGCCACGTGACGATGCTCCGATATACACACGACGACCGAGTGGCTCATGAAAATCCATTACGAAACACGATATCAATTAGCTGACCTTCGCGATTAATAGGGGAAAAGAGAGTGGCGCGCGACGGTCGTGCATCGACAATGAGCTTTTCCCGTTTCAGCGTTCGTATCTTCGGCTCCATGAGAAATACTAAACGGGGCGTGGAAATTTCCGATCGCCTAAGTATCACCAAAATAATTGTGAGTTTGTCGAAACGCGACTGGTACACGAAGATCGTATTTATAATTTGGTGTTGTCTACATTGGACGTTGTCAACCAACAATTATCGTTTGTCCAAAATTGGAACCTACGGTTCTTGTATCCAATTTATTTTGTACTCGCTTACTTTGCGTAGACCGTCGACTAGATCATTTTCTACCGACTCTTTCTTTACAAGAACACGAGAAACACCCTCGAACCACGTCACAAGAATTTCGCTTTCTAAGGTCGGTTTCTTCAGGCGTCTACCGATACATATTTCCTTAATTTTGTTAAAGTTTGCATTTCAATAAAGAACCAATAGAACTTTACATCCATTCTACGCAATCCTTATTACACCAACGATTACCGAAAAGTTATTCAATTTTTATACGAACGCGTGAGGGAACCTCTGTACCATTGTGACGAAGAGGCCGTCCTTCAGAAACAAGCGATAGAAAGGGGGCATACGTGTTACGATTTATCAAACAAATCTTATCAACAAAGTAGTACAACTGCTGTGGAACCGAGAATATCGAGAAAGGTAGCAATTCTCAAGAGAAAGACGAACAAGAGACAAAAATTGGCACGCATTGGTCCCACCTACGTTACCACGATAATTTAAACGATCGTAATTTATGGTAAATCGTCACACGCGAGTCCCCTTTTAATTAACTGCGTGAAACGACGCTGTTTCTATCGCACCGTGAGGTTTTCGATGGACGCGGTAAAATCTAAGATGGCGACGCCTCGGAATCACGGGGACGGAAGCACGGGGACGCATCAGTTTCTTAATTCCTTCGTCATTGTAAATATTGTAGTCAGGGGGGCGTGAATGAGGTAGATAGAGACACAAAGAGAAAGCGAGCGAAGCACGTGACTGTAATTTTTGCGGCTCGCGGATAATCGGCGAAGTCTTATGGCGTTTTCTTCTTCGACGGTAGACGAGAGGGGATCGAGAATGCAAAGGAAAGCCGTTTCTCTCCCTTCTCGACGTGAAATCGCCTCGAACGGGTCATGGGATACGGTCGGAGATGGGAAAAATTTTGTTCGATCAACAGATAACAAACACAATGTCCTGCGATTAAAATTTTGGTCTTTTTCGACGAGTAGCGAGTCAAATATTCTGTTATCGTCTCGATAGAGATTTTCCCCGTCTCTGGATACGGTCCGCGATGGACATGCACAGTGACAATCTGGAGAAGAGTCGAGGATCGATTCGGTCAATTCGAAAACGTTGGCATCGAAGTTTCCATTCTGTGGCTAGGCACGCACTGAACGCAACGTGACGCAGTCTAGATAGATTAACAGACATTAAATTCGATTAGTAAGTTATTTGTTCGCGTAGTTGCTTCTGTATATAATCTATCTACACTTTACGTAACTTCGTTACAGTATTGTCCCTTTTTATGCGATCAAACAGTGTCCATAATGTCTCAGCCAGACTCGTAGCTCGACCGTAATCCCTTTTGTTGATCGAAATAACGATCGTAATGCATTGTTCTGTAACGATAATTCGATGGAGCAGCATTAGCGACGAATCAAATCTATATGAGAAGACAAACGAGACAGAAATTCGTATTGTGTGCTGTGCAAAGTGCGTTTAACATGTGCCTAGCCTGATCGAATTGGTGCGAGCAATTATTGTCGTGGCGAAGGAAAAATCGACTTGGATGGCGAGGGAAGTTTAATCATTGGAACACCTGGGCTACGATATTAGAAATATTTGTAGTTTCGACTTAATTTCACTTGCTAAAATTTGTTTCGTAACCACGAAGAACGATCGAGCCATTGTTAGGGGGAGAACCACAGTCCCTATTGGGACGACTGGTCATCCAAGTCGATTCCTTCATCGATTACAGAAATAAAAGAAGACGACGTTGATTGAGGCCGATCTTTAATTAAATCTGAGAATCGAGGACCAAGGGTTCCTTCGGACCAGACATTCGTCGAGACATCCTCTTTTTATTAGTCATTTATCAGTCCACATAACGAACGATAACGACATCCTTCAAGCTCCCAAACTTTGTACAGATTTTGGACACTCGCCTGGAACCCGTAGCCAAGTTAACAAAGATTAAATGGCCACTCGAAGTCGCTCCTCGACCACGAATCACATAAACAGAGAGCATATCTGCAGGTTTGCGTTAAAAAATAGTAGAATAACCGTCGTGGTGGGGGACCGATAACGACTGTCGAGTGTCCTCGAGCGGCCAATTAATGTTTACCAGGACTAAAAATTGTTAGGAAAAAAGGTGTCTCGTCCGAGAGAACCCTGAGTGGTAAATTAAGGTAACCGGTGGAAAGAGAAGAATGGCGAATGTCCGGGATGGCGCGTGCTGGCGGTTTCGCCGCAGATTCATCGACGCAGAATCAATACTCTCTTAACGCTATTGTTCTCAACGATTGTGATATATATATTGTTAATGCTGTAATGATAATGGTAGACTCGCTCGTTAAGACGAGCCATAGCGCGTACATAGAGGTGCCGTTGTTTCGTAAGCCTCCTGGGGGGGGACGTTTAAAATGGCCGCGGCTCGCAGCATCCCGGGTACTCGAGCAGACGGATCGACTCGACGCGATTGGTTTTCGATGATCCGTGCCGCGAAACATTACGCATCGCCGTTTCTTTCCGGGAGGGCGGATCTCTGGCCATCGCGAGACGGAGGACGGGGCAGCAATAATTTAAAAATCGGAGTAAAATGGATTACGAAGCGAATGAGAGTGAGAGAGAGAGAGAGAGAGAGAGAGAGAAAGAGAAAGTGATGCACGTTGATTGGATCGAGACGCGAGGGGGGGGGGAATAATGCCTGTAAATAAGAAAACGAGAACAGTGTTTGCGTTCTAATTATTTATGTTGCTGATCGAAAGCGGATTCGATAGTGAATTATTGTAATGATTCGTAATTTAAAATGAAAACGAAGAACACGAGAACGGAGTAAGAGAAACGTGAAAAATCATATACACAGATTATGTAAATAAGCTAATGGGTAATATCTCCCTTGGTAAAGGATAGTTTACGGATAGTTATTTTTATTACTATTATTATTATTAAGTAACTATTATTATTATATTATTATATTATATTATTATTGTCATATTATTATTATTACTTATTGCTATTGTCATTATTAATATTATAATTATCATTGTTATCCTTCGGCCAATGATCTCAAAAGAAAGATGGTAATTGCGTTCGGTTGAGAGTGTTGCTAAAAAATCTGAGCCGATTTCAATTCTCGTCAAAGGCCACGCGTGGGGGGGGGGAAAAAAAATCATCGCCGTCTTTTCGTTGACAATTCAAAACGCATTCTACTTTTGTCGTCCATCCTTCCTCTTCGACTATTTTTACTATCTGTCGTTCACTTTCTTCTTATTTCTTATTATTTCTGGCCTACGTACTCTCTAAACATGTTTATGACGCGCTCGAAACGACTCCTCGTCCACGGTTGCGCTCCCTTTTCTGTTTTTCTTTCTCTCCATTTTTCTTGCCTTTTTCTTGTTTACGTTTCTGTAACGCTTCTCGCCGCGGCGCGCGCACATTCCAAAAAGAGAAAAACGAAGAAAAAAACAAACAAAAAACAAAGAAGAACCGAGAGGTTAAACGCGTTTCGTTTCTCTTTATTTTTTCATAGACCGCCTTATTTCCGTTTCGATTCGTCCCGAGAATCGTTCGTACTTTTGGTCACCGAGACGTTAAGCGTACGCCTTATCAGAGAATGAACGTTCCTTTTGTGTGTATCGGGTCATCGCATTCTTTCATTGCATAAGAAGGAACAGAAACCGAAGGTAGCCGTTCGTGTCGCAGCAAAGACCCCCGTTTGCACGTCGATTACGAGCCAGAGAATTATTTTACGAGAACGCCGATGGTTTATCGGTAGACCGTAAGTGCCCGTTGAAAAGGAATTTCATTCTTTTTTTTTCTTTTTTCTTTTTTTTTTTTTATTTCGTTCTCCCGACGAACACGTGCGAACGGGGACTCCGAACGAAACGCGATTAAATCGTTTTATTTCGCTCCGGGTTCATCGATTGATTACAATTTTCTGCGGAGACACTGGGAGGGGGGGAAATAAAAGAAGAGAGGAAAAGAAAAATCGAGGTTTAAAACGACGCAATTCGAAAGTGACCTATTTAAATTGATTGAATTCCGTTAGAACCGATAGCGGTGCAACGCTGATCAAATTATTCATGAACATGTTTTATCAAACGAGAGTCAAGACATTTTGTCATGTCTTTGTATATTTTTATGCAATGTTGTAGAATGATATTGTTTCAAATATATTATACAGATAATGATAATAAACAAATTTATATGCCATAAGCTGTATTTGACTTGTTTCGACCACCCGGCCCATAAACGCGTCGCTACCTTTCTTAATTTACTCGTTTATATATTAATTTTATGCATATCTATAGCATACTACGACGTTCTGGCGAGAGTCCTCGGACTCTCGGGCCATAAAAACGATCTCAGCGCCACCTACGCACAGAACGCCCAAGTTTGTCGAGAAATAAATCGCTGTGTTCCACGTTAGATGGCCTAAAAGATGTATTCTAGGAACTACTCTTTGTCGTCATCTAGCATCGAATTATTTATTATTATCGTCATTATTATTAATTTTCTACCTGTTCGACGCTAGGTAAATGCTTGAGCCGCCATCCAGCTTCGAGAAAGGGTACTATTGCTCGACAAACTTGGGCAAACTGACACTTGCCCGCCTTTTTTATATTATTACCTGACTGCTTGAACATTGAATATCGATATAATACACGACACCTAAGTAATACTATGTCTAAGTATGAATTTTCAACCTAAATTTCAATCATTTTCTTATATAAATGTTCCTTTTCTGTATAGTACATTTTCTAAAGTTATTCGTTTCAATTTCGATGAAATGTTTTCGTGTTTTCTTTCAGAGTAGTGTTGCGTATAAGAGCTGATCTCGGATTGCATTAGTGTTGCGAAATGTGAATATTATCGCGTTGCAAATATAATGAACCGAACTTGATTACTTTTAGAGTTGCGATCGGTTATATTCTTCGCGTTTTCTGTTGGAATAGTGTTGACAATAATCACTGATCGTGTTAATTTTAATGTAGAATTAGGACTAATAAAATGTCCGATATATGATACTTGTACCTGGTCCAGTAAGGTATAAGGTTATTTGTATACCACACAAGATGTAGGCAAGATTGTTTTCTTTATTACAATAGGTTGATCTTGTACAAATTAATTATAGCCTTATAATTATAACAAGTCAAGTTCCTCACTGTTTGAAAGATTTCATGATATCGATATGTATCCTATTAGCAGGGCTAAGTGTTACGGTAAATTTGGAAGTTGTACCCACATATTTTTTTTTTTCTCGTGTTAATTCATTTTCTACTTCTTCACAATTGTACAATTATGGCAAGTTCGTGATAACGTGAGAAGTAAACGGAACTATTTATTAGTTTGTAAATTATAATCAAGTACAAAATGTCAATAATAAGTAGTTCGGAAAATAAAAAAGTAAACGCACACAAAAGAAGTATTATGTTTCATCGATCAATTCCGATTGCTTGAATTGTTAATCATATTAAATCATTAAATATTACTCTTACGAGAACGTTTCATGAAAAAAAAAAAACTTAATATTGCTAATCGATCAGAAGCTCTAAAAAATATTGCGTGTTCTCTATCATATCTTTACAACCAAATACTTTACGATCGCCGCGTGATTACAAACTGATTGGTACAATATTTGGGAACGTACGATCGTTTCAATCATCCGCGTCACTTTACAGTCTTCTTTAACCAATACGTGTTCTTTATTGATTCGTAAAAAATAAAATTAATCTTAACAGTTAAGAACTTGCTGCGCTTCGTCATGTGCTGAAACTTTCATTGCGCGTTGATGTTGATTCCGATACAATTTGTTAAGTTAAAACTGTACAATATTCTTATTTCATTCTAATATAGAATAAATTATCTAAGTTCAATTGTATCCGTGTAAGTGTTGCGTTGAAAGTTCAGTGGCGGGAAGCACAGCTGTTTCGAACTTACGCAAGAACGAGACAATTTATTTTTCTCTTGGTCAACGCAAAAGAGAAGTCACCCTGTTTCGCATTATTATTAACGTGGTTTACTCATTTATCCCACTAAATATAGAGTAAGATGGCTAGCGTCCTTTACAGAACAGGAACATAAAAAGTGAATTTGACAGGAAACTTCTACGTACATGTATATATATAAAAAAAAACGTGTACACTTCACCCGATTAAGCTGCCGCCTAGATATTTGCTCAACTAAAATGTATCTCGCATGGAAGTACACAGTGTTTCAAAAGACATTAGGCACGGAAATAACAGTTTCTTGATCCATTGTGTGTCGCGCTCAACTACACAAAATCAATCAAGGGAAATGCATTGTTTGTATGGCATTAAGAGTTAGTTGGCAGTTTAAAAAATGTTTCGTTATAATTACGTGGACAGATTCTGACAATGAAATTAATAGCGTGAGAACTATGAGTAATTCATGGTAAAGAGCGTTAATGAGCTGCGTATATTTCGCATCGCTGAGCAGTCTTATTAAAGAGTAGATAAAATGTTAAAGCGTGATGTAAGTAGTAGCACCATGTATGCAGTTATGTTCGTCGAACATGATGGTGACTGATGGAAGAAGAAATTTAAAGTAAACGAAAGTGAATAAAAAAAAAAACGTATTAAAACAGAAAAAAAGAAGTTTAAACGAACGGAACGTTGACTTAGCTTACGTACATGGCGGAGGAGGGATGTACTCCGCTTTTTCTTCATTTCTTTTCTTTTATAAAACGTCGGATAGTTAATATTACAATCGTTATCATACAAGTCATAGTATTTGATCATCGTATAAACATTATTATCATCACAGTAAAAATATTTCATATCTTTTTAACTATTGTGCTTCGCTGCAGTAAACGCCAGCAGTCATGCACATATATTCGCCCTAGAAGCAGAGCACTGTTTTTTTTTCACTAGAGTCAATTCGTTTACTTGCTAGACTACGCTGTACTTATATTTATATTATTAAGTAGTCCGTCGGTTCATCTCGTACGTAACCAAAATAAAGTCGGTTAGCAAATAGTAAAAATACATAAATGTACCTATGTACCATTTTTTTTTTTTTTTGTTTGCACTGGAATTATAGTTGCGGATAACATTTAAGTTTAAACGATAGGTCATTAAATAATAGTCATTGGTCTGACGACGCGGTCGTGATTAAATTTACTTCTCCCAAGTAACGAATTTTATCCTTAACCAAGATAACTTCTTACCTGTAATAGTTGCGCATAGTTGCCATAATATATATATGTATATATCCATCTTTTTTTTCTTTTTACTAAACCTCATCCCCTTTGGTAGATAAAGAAAGATTAATGTTTCGCGATACGACAAATTATCAAGACGCTTGATGGTCCACGGCGTAAGAATCGTCGAATACAATAAAATTTTTCAATTAAACAATTCGCGTGGAACCCGTGAACTCGTGTCCAATCGTTAAAAGAACCTGGTAATTATTTATCGTTCCCCAAAAAATTACGTCCTCGTCGCTCCATATAATTTCTTCAAGGATCGCAGAATTAAGTACGTTAGTACCTAAGCTCTACCTACATAGGAGATTTGAGGCACGATGCACCTGCGCGGAGCAAGGTACATCGTTGGCTCAGTATGCGAATACCATACTGTCGGCTCGTCCGCCAAGTTTCTTCCGTAGCTGCCTCTGTACACTCTTTTCTTCTCTCTACCTATGCTGATAATATGTATGTACAAAATTGTCGTATATTCACAAACATTCGCACCCGATCTCTTACTCAAGAAGCACAGAAAAACACGATCACGTACAGTCTGTTTATAAACGGTGCCACCACTATTCGTCACACCGAGGTTTGCGTGATACCGTTCCCCGACAACCACAGGCGGCCGTTGCTCTTCTGATCGGCGATCTCGTACTCCGAATCGTCAATCTCGCATAGATTGGTGGATAAGTCGCTGTTGCTCGTGGCACCGCCCAATAACGAATTCCTTTCCTCCAGCGTGGTGATCACCGAACCGATCTCGTCGACGTCGTCACCCTTGTGGCATCGGTTGCGCCGGGTGCTTGGGAAACCATAAGGCACTACATCGTCTTCCTCCTCGTCGGATTCTAGCGTACTAAGACGTCCGTTTAACGGGTTCGTTTCGTTCTCCGTGTCCGTGTGAATATTGTAATGCGGCAGGTAAGAGTTCGGATGACGTAGATAACTCTCGGAACCCTTGTATTTGTATTCCCCTTCGCCGCCGCTATCGAGAGGGTTCAACCGTTGCGTTTCCGTGCAATGGTACTGTTCCGAGAACTCGGTCCCGCATTCAGAGTCACCGACGTATTCTGATTCTTGATCCTCGTTCAATGTTTCGATGTCTCTCGCCGGATCTACAGAGCCGTGCACTGGAAAGAAATTATTTCGTATTACACACGGTGCTCTCGATCATTCGTTACCTTCCATCGGTTTAACCCCCAACTTGAGAGACCTGCACCAATTGTTTCGAATCTGAACATCATCAGACATTACGTGTACAAGTTGTGGATTAAACGGGATTCATCGAGCTACGTAATAAGCAAAACGTTGGATCAATGGTAGCACCAATCCGGTGTGCACGTTTTAACCGTGAACGACGCGCGTTACAGAAATGGTTATTCGAAATGAAGATGATTATTTTAGAGGCTTCTAAAAGGTATTCTACGTGAGAAACGAAACCAGGAAACAGCATGAGCTGAGAGTGTTACAACTAAAGAGTTTAAGGTGCCAAGTGTGCCAGTGGAAGCAAATATGTCGCGCATGCACTCCGCGTACTCACCTGACGGTAACTGAGGAGTGTTTGATTCGTTACTCTCATTGCTGTGGAAGCTGGACGAGTCTGGAACTTCGCTTCCAGGTACCTCCGTGATGTTAGGTAGGGGGTTTTGACTTGGCCTGACCCAGTCTGAACAGTCCCAGTGATACCCTAAAAGCATTGCAGACAACAACTGTACTCCGACACGCTACATGCGACGGTCCCCGTCGCCGCGATACGGAGCGAGGAGAGAAGCAGTGTTCTGGTGAAGGTATAAAAATAATAAAATAAAATCTATGTAAAAAATAAAAAGAAACTGGCCGATAGATATAGGGGATAGCATCAAGCGAAGCGTTAAACCCAATAACGTATGTATCGTGATCGTTCAGGCATACTAATTACTTGGACTTACCGCCGACAATACGAGGATCATCCTCGATGGACATCATGGAGGCAACGGAGGTCCCACCTCCATGAGGCACGCGTCGAGAAGAATTTAGTAGAAGTCCTCCAGTGGTCAGCTCTGGTACCACTGGGCTCGCTCGTTTCAGGTCTGTTAGCGCACACAATACGATACAACCAGTGTTAATTCGATTCGCTACACGCCCAAGTCAGCATACTGTTATCGACATTCGTATTAAGAAAAGGAGACGGAGGTACAGTCTGTCACGCAAGAGTTTAGCGAAGTGGGGGAGGAACTCTTATATTCTCGGAGTACAGAATAGTTGAATACGATATTCGAGTCGAGTTTGTGTTATCTTGTTCGTATCATAAACTATTTTTGACGGTATAATGATCGTAAAACTGCGGTTAGGAAACAGTAATGTTTCTTGGCGGAATACTGTACTAAAATCTCTGCTGTTCGGAGAGTACGTACGACGGCAAGGGTGCGGGGTAATATTGGCCGTGATGTCGTTTTCACGGATGAGTATTCTTTTCGATCATTACTTCCTGTACGGAAATCTTGGTCTTCCTGCGCGAATGCAGTGACCCAACGAACCGTTAAACATCCAATAATGGTTCATGTTTGGGGTTGTTCCAATCCCCGGACGAAGAAGTTTCGACAGAAACGTGTCTTACGTAAAAGATCTTGTTGGAAGAATATCACGATAGTACCAGATTATAATTAGTAATGGCGGAGATTAGATAAGCTATTAGTTATACGCAACATGGTGTTTCGTATATACTTTCCAACCATTTTGGATTAATCTTTCGGGGTGTACCGACGTCTGCACTCTTGTATGACAGACTATAGTGGATCATTCCACGCGAAATTGGACACATTTTGGATTTAGCAAGAAGTTGAAGACGTTGCTCCAAAAGCGTCCGTATTCGCTGTGAAACGTCCCTAGAAGACGACGTCGACGCAGTTAAGAGTAATCGAAGAGACAGCGCGAAAGAGAGAAATATAGGAAGGCGTTACGAGGACACGAAGGACGTGAAAGAGTAGAGGAGAGAAGCTAGTTCCACCCACGATGCATGCCGCAAGCGAAAAACAAAAGTAAGAAGCTACGATGAGTCGGGGAATCAGCAACGCATACTACTCACCGTTCTTGATCTTGGTCGTGTCCGTGATGAAGGAAGCTAGTTGCATCTGCTCTTGCCAGGTCGGCTTATGGAGGCTATCCGTGTCGCTGCCTGTAGCGTTTCCGCCGACCGGGTTAGCGAGAGTTAAGGATGGAGGGGGCACGGGAGTGCTGCGGTTTAGGTTTCTCAAATAATCTGGCGGGAAATTTTCCAGCTCGTCGCCAGCGCTACCGTAGCTGCGCAGAGTGTCCAGATTATTCAGAGCCACTGCCGCCGAGTTACTGTACGCGGCTGGCTCGTTGTTCGAGCTGGGTGTGTAGGATGCGGGTCTGGGAGGGCATTGGGGAGGTTCTCTCTGCAAAAAAGAATCACACGAAAACCTTAAACTCAATGCACGCGTCACTCGCTGGGAAAAGGGAATACCGGCTGATGATCGCAAACCAAGAATAAAACGGCATGAAAATAAAATTTTACTAATCGTCTATCGCCTAGCGTGTACGGTATAAAATGATCAAAGGCATGCGCTTTCTTCTCAGTGCTGACGAAACCGAAACGGCCCCGTTGAGTATACCTATATGTACCTGTATTACTTCCAAGTTGCTCAGCTTCGAGCTGCGCTTGAATTCGTGCTCGTGCGGCCTGGCCGAGTTCAGGACGATCTGTTTCCTGGTCTCGTTGTTGATGTTGTTCGCTCGCGCCCTGGTGCGCTTCATTCTGATCCGTCGATACGCGAAGAACACGATTATCAGGAAAAGGTTCAACACCACCGCGACGCCTATCCACATTAGCTGTTCCCACGTGATGTTGAAGTGACTCGATATGATCGGTGTCGAGTACGCAGGGTTCCCGCAGTTCAAACCGGTCATGTTCGGCGGACAGATGCATCTGTACGTCCCGATTTCGTTTACGCAGGTGCCCCCGTTGGTGCACGGGTTTGCATCGCATTCGTTCACATCGGTCTCGCAACGCTCCCCCGTGAATCCCTGACATTTGCATATCGGACCGTTGTTACCTTCCTCGCAGACGCCACCGTGGATGCAAGGGTTCGGGCTGCAGTATCTTCCGAACTCGCAGCGTTTGCCACTGAGGCTGGGACCGACGCACTCGCAGGTGTAGTCGCTTCCTTCCGGCACGATCTTGCAACGACCACCATACAGACAAGGGGAAGAGGCACACGGATCGGAATCGATCTCGCAAGCCAGACCCGCGAATCTGCTGTGACATTGACATTCGTAAGTATCGCCGCCGGAATCCTTACACGTGCCACCATTCTGACAGGGCTGCGAGCCACAGATGCCTGGAGGTATCAACACGATGGTGGCGTCGCAGCTGAACTCGACATTCGCAAAACGCTTCAAGACAGCCACGCTACTGGCGCCGCTCATGTGCAAAGGCACAGACACTCTGGCGATCCTGACGTCGTCCATGCATCCGATGAAGCCCCGTTGAACGTCCTCGAAGCCCAGAATCGACGGATGTTGCCTCACCTCGGCGCCCAAGTAGAGATCGTCCGATTGAAGATTCAGAATGTCGTTGATGCCCGGCGCCGAGCCATGAGCTACGTGTTTTCCGTCTACGGTCAACCTGGCGCTGTTGCTTTCCCGTTCCAATTGGATCTCGTGCCATTGTCCGTCGCTCACGTACACGCTGCTCACGCGGACCAAGCCCTCTCCGCTACCCAGATCGAATTTGTACTGCACAACCCCGTTCACCACTTCCAGGATGTTGTAGTCGACTTTGCCGGCCGCGTACATCAAGTTTCCAGTCAGCTGCACCGTCCTGATCCTCAAAGATAAACTCAGACGGTCCTCGATTATTTGCCGGATGAGGGTTTTGTCGATCCTGTAGCGAGCGTAGCTCTTTCCGCTGAAGGATATCGGATTTCGCGGTATGTAACAGGATTCGTCGTGGCACTTGGAGATGTCAATGTCACAGGTCTGCCCGGCGAAGCCTTCGGGGCATTGGCAAGAGTAGCCCTGCACGGAGGAGTCTGGTACGCACACTTTGAACAATGGACAGGGATCCCTGGCGCACTCGTTGACAACCATCTCGCAATGATTGCCAGCGTAGCCCTCTTTGCAGTTACATTCCATTTTGTGCTTGTGTCGCGGCGATACGAAGCTCATCACGTCGGTGGCCACGGGCGTGATTTGCTCGAGATCGAGAACGATCTTGTCCTGACAGTCTCCGTACACGCAGTAGCCTTTGTTGCATTTAAATCTAACGATTTCTTCGACCACCAGTTTCGTGGACTCTTCTAGTTCCTCGATGTGCTGGTTCAGCGCCTCCCGGATACTCTCAGAAGCGTAGAATCCCGCGGATCCCGCGCCACCGCCGCTCTTTTTCACCGCGAACAATAGATCCAAGTCGTTGTGCACGGCCTGGCGAATAGCTCGAGACTTTATCAAATTCGCCTCGTCCGAAGACGGCTGAACGCTGATAACGATTATGTCCTTCAGTCTGCAGTTCATCGCGTTGCGCACTGTCCTGACGAATCCTTTGCGATGGCTCAGTATGAAGTCCTCGGGACTCACTTCTCTGAATCGAATGATCACGGAGTTCTCTAGCATCTTCTCGCTCACGAGATCAACGTTCACCTTCACAACGGAAGTGGAATGAAATTTCCCGTCCGTTACGCTGATGTTCACCCTGTACTCGCCGACGTCCAATCGCGGGAGAGCAACCAGGGTGCCGTCGATTTTGTCTATTTGGAACAGTTCGTTCGGTATCGGAGACGATGGTATCAGGTTGTACGTGAGAGTGTCGTATTGATCTTGATCGGTCGCGTGAACCTTTCCTATGATACCTCCTGGATACTCGTCCATGTAAGAATTTACGATCACTTCTAATGGCGTGACCACCGGCGGATACTGGGATTCTTCGATGACTTTGATCACGACCCACGAGTCGGAATATAGAGGCGGACTGCCGTTGTCGAAAACGCGTATGTGCAACACGTATTTGTCTTTAACTCTGTTGTTGAACTTGGTCGCCGTTCGTAGCGTGCCGTCTTGCTCCAACCTAAAGGCGTCGCCCTCGTTCCCAGAACGGAAGTCGAACGTGTACGGATCGGCGTTCGGTTCGATATCTGCATCTGTAACGACGAACTGCAGCACGGTATGGCCCAAGGGCTTGTCCTCTTGCACCACGGCGGTATAATTCGAAAGGGAGAACAGTGGTGGGTTGTCATTTGCATCTAAAATCTCGATGTTTACCATCACGAAGCTAGAGAGCATCGGTATACCACTGTCGCGGGCGTGAACTTCCAGCACGTAGTTGGAGATCTGAAATGCAAAATGAGGTTACGCGACAATCGTGTACAGACGGATTTATCGTCGCGTCGTTTTATGATTTCCACTCACTTCTTCCCGGTCCAATGGCGCCGCCACGGTTACTTGTCCCGTTTTTTGATCGATCGAGAATTGCTTTTGCCTGTCGCCACGCTCGATGAAGTAAGACACGTTTCCGTTTTCCTCGCTGTCCATGTCGTTCGCGAATATCTGGAACATCGATTGGAAGGTACAATATAGTTTCGACGAGAGTACTGTTTATTATAATCGAATAATATATAAAGTAGAATGTTTACCTGTGTAACTTTCTCGCCGATCTTTGCGTCCTCCCTCACGGAAGTCCTGTACGAAACTTCGCTGAAGACGGGGGCGTTATCGTTGCTATCGATCACAGTGATGTTGACTGTAGCATGATTACTCAACGGCGGAATGCCTCCGTCGACGGCTTGAATAGTCAGAAAGTAGTCGCGCGCACGCTCGTAGTCCAGCTGTTCCGCGATGGTGATGACGCCGGTGCGCGCGTCTATCTGAAACTTTTTGTGCTCGTTTCCACCCACGATCGAGTAGTAAACGTCCGCGTTGACGCCGGTGTCTTTGGATGTGGCGAGGACCCTCGCCACTTCCGTACCGACCGCATATATCTCGGGCACTTTGGAGAAGTGGACCTTGGAGGCAAACTCCGGGGGATTGTCGTTAATATCTTGCACGTTGACGACCAGCGATGTCACGCTGGTCAGCTGCGGCGTACCCTGGTCCAGGGCCTGTATGGTGACGTTGTACATAGCTTTCGTTTCTCTGTCCAGCGGTTTGCCGAGCGTGACGATACCGCTGTCCGCCGCAATGAGGAAGTGCCCATCCGCGGAATCGATGAACTCGTATCTGATCTTGCGATTAATCCCGATGTCGTTGTCGGTGGCGTGGACCTTGGTCACCAGGGTACCGACTTCCACGTCTTCGGGCAGCGTGGCGCTGTAGGTCTGCATCGTGAATTTCGGTGCGTTATCGTTCAGATCTGAAATCAGTATTTCTAGCTGAGAGGAACATTCCCAAGATGGCTTGTCTCTGTCCTGTACGTGGGCGGTGAGCGAGTATCTTGCTTGGGTCTCTCGATCTAGTTGGCCGATGGTCTTCAGGACGCCGGTCTCCTTGTCCAGAAAGAATTTGTCGTTGTTATCGCCCGTTAAATAGAAACGCAATTTGGCGTTCGGTTCATCGTCGTAATCCGTGGCGAGGACAGTCAGCACGTACGTGCCAGGATGCGATCCTTCGGAGAGGATCTCTCTGTAACGATACCTGAGACAATACGGCGGATTGTCGTTCACATCCAGAACTTGAACCGTCACTTTTGTCTTGAAGACGTATTTGCCATCGGTGCCGACAATTTCGAGTTCGTAACGATCGATGGTCTCCCGGTCTAGAGACTTCGCCACGTACACCTCGCCCGTCGATCTAATCTGAAATTGCGATCTCGAGTCGCCGGACGTTATATAGAACTCTATTGGAGTGTTAACGTCCGAATCTTTGTCGACTGTGATCAGCTTGACTACCACAGTTCCTGGCAGAGCGTCTTCGTTTACCGTGGCCTCGTAACGATCGTCCACGAACGCCGGGGCGTTATCGTTGTAATCCTTCAGCTTAACGTGGACGGAAGTCCTCGCAAAGTGTTTCGGGTTTCCGTTATCTGTTGCAACCACCTGAACCAAAGAGGAGCGAACGTTTCCGTCAGATAGTTTTAACCGACTAACAGACTAGACTAGCCAAAACTAGAGGCTTACCTGAAACTTGTATTCCGGTTGCTTTTCTTTGTCCAGCTGAACCAACGTCGATATCCACCCCGTGTAAGCGTCCACCGTGAAGACGTTAGCCAATTCGCCTATATCGGACCCAAACGAGTAACGAACCTCCCCGTTGCTTCCTAAATCTTCGTCGTGCGCTATTATCTTCAAGATGGACGTTCCTTCGTCTATGTTCTCAGCCAAACTGATGCTGTACGGGTTGCTTTCGAATTTTGGAGCGTGGTCGTTTTCGTCCAACACTTGTAGCGATATCTTGGCGAGCGCCGTCAGTGGAGGACTCGAATCCGTTTCGGCAAGAACTCCGATCAAATGGTTATCTTTCAATTCTCGATCCAGCTGTTTGGCCAGAGTGATCTGGCCGTGAGAATCGATCGTGAAAAGCGGCGAATCTTCATCCCCGGAAACTATTCTGTAAGTGACCGTACTATTGGTCACGGTTTTTAGTCTTGTTATCGGAGTGCCGACCGGGGATGCTTCGGATATAAAGAACTTATCTTCTTTTCGCTCGAAAAGCGGAGGAATGTCTTGTGGACCCATTATGTAGATATTGAGAGGCACGTCTGCGTGATGAGTCGTCGAGCCTTTGTCCTCCGCGCGGATGAACAACTCGAAAAGTTGATTTTCTAAAAAATTAGTTTTTTCTTGTTTTCGTGACACTCTATTTAGCATAGTTAGTTTCTTATTATCTACGTGAAAGTGAAAATTCTTACCCCAAGGTACCGCGTTCTTCTGCAGGAACATAGCCCCGGTGTTCGGATTTATACCAAAAAGCGATTTCGTTTCGGAAGTCTGGGGTTCGTAAATCGAGTAAACGATTCTGGCGGCGTCGTCCTCGTCAGCATCCTGAGCCTTGACCTTCAGGAACGGTGTGTTCAGCGTCAGGTTCCCATGTATGCTAGCCTTGTACTCCCTCAAGAGAAACATGGGCGAGTTATCGTTCTCATCTCCAACCTTGACCCTGACCATCACGAATCCCGATCTGCCGCCCCCATCGGTGGCCATCACCGGCAGCTCGAACAGTTTCTGTTCCTCGCGATCCAACTTTTTCCTCGTCACGATTTCGCCGGTCATCCTGTTTATGTCGAAGTACTCCTTCATCAGATCGGACGCTATGGTGTATACGATCGTGCCATAGTCGCCAAAGTCCTCGTCGGACGCTATCACGCTGGTGACCAATCGTCCGGGCAGCTGATTCTCCAAAACGGTGACCTCTACCAACGGGTTCGGGAACTTGGGATTGTGCCTGTTGGCGGGCAGTATTTCGATCTTCACGCGGGTGAAGCTCGTGTAGACGTTGTCGGTGACGGATACGTTAAGCATGCTGAGCTTCTTCTCGCCAAAGTTCTGCATATTGATCAGGGAAATGATGCCGGTCGATTGGTCGATATTGTACGTTTGCTGCTCGTTACCACCCACGATGGTGTACGTAAGCTTCTCGTCGACGTAATCTGGATCGCTGGCAGACACCACCGTCACGAATTGACCCCGTTCCGCGTGCTCGGACAGCGAACACATGTAGGACGGCTGCTCGAACTTGGGTGGGTTGTCGTTCATGTCGATGACAGTCACCCAAACGTGAGCGGTGCTCGAGATGCTCGGTACTCCGCGGTCGGTGGCGATCACCGTGAAGTGATGCGACTCGTGTGCCTCGTGATCCAACGATCTTTTCAAGAATATCACACCCTCCTCGGGATCGATGTGAAACAGATCCGCGCTGTTCTCGGTGTCGTTTTGTATCGCGTATCGAACTTGCTGATTTATACCTGCGTGGGACGAAACGCGTTTATTTCACTTGCTAATTCTACCAGAGGAACGAACAGATTGCTACGAGATGGATAGCCGATAGACCGCGAATTAATGTCATCGTTTTGTGCACGGTAATGTACTGGCTCGTACCGGGTGATATACATATAGCAGTAGATTTATATAGGAAATATCCGAGGTTATTTATACGCGTCAAGGCAGCTTATGAAATATTTCAAGAAGTTAGTTAAACTTTTCAAAATTAGCGAAAATCTCTAAACCCTTTAAAGAGTTAATGGAGCTAGGTTAGGCAGTTCAATATAAAATCGTAAATAATTCGTAATGGATCGTTAGGGATTCACAAACGAACGGCAGTGAACGTGTCGATAAAGAGTATCAGCGTTTCTTTGTCCTCCGTCGATTTTTTTTTCTTCGATTTATTCGCGTACGCTACGAGAATATTGCGCCGCCGCGTCACTCGTTAAGAGTGCCTTCACGATAATTACAATAACAGCGATCTTCCTCGAACACAAAGGTCTGCTTCGCGTTATTTACGAGACACGCTAAGATCCTCCTCTGGCTGACATTAATCAGAAATTTTAAGGAGACCTTCGACCTCCGGCGGAGCCGATGCAATACCGGTTGTATATTATAATGCGCTAAATGGCTGGCTTACCCGTGTCGTTATCCCTGGTGCTGACTTTTAATACAGAAGTGCCGAACGACGCTGCCTCGGAGACCGAAATGTTGTACGAGTCCTGGGTGAATTCCGGGGGGCAGTCGTTCACGTCCAGCACGAGGATGCTAACGAGCACCTCCGCATAAACCCCGGACACGCTGTCCGTCGCTCGCACGGTCAGCTCGTACTGCTTCTTCTGTTCATAATCCAGCTCATCCACCACATAGATTACACCTAATTTATTGAAGAGAAGATTGTAGACCCAAAGCACTCTATGCAGCGTAGCGTCCACAAAGCCGAGAAACTTCTTCTTTTCCTTTCGTGTTTTGCGACGGTAGACAATTCACGCCGGGATTCTCTACGGCGAACGACTCGGCAAAGCGTAATTTCGATGCTCGCGGACACCTTGCGGTGCATAACGCGCTCCGGGGCGATCGGATACACGAGGAGTTGCTCGGTTTCGCGGACACCAAGGGACACTGGTGAATGCAAGTCACGTAATAAACATGTTTGTACAAGACGTTCGGATGCCGTGAATGAATTTGCGAATGCTACCAGAATATGTCTGCACCTTTCAACATGACAGTGCGATATGCAACTTAACAGGTTGACTGTTCGAAGCCCTGATCTAGACTACTGGTCTAGACCACTCGACGATCGTCGACTAAAAATACTTTTCAATGATGCGTGATAAATATTCACTCCGGGGGGAAGGATAATAGATTACAGGGATGGGGGGCTGCTTCTTGAGATCACTAGTCTGTTTACATATCAGTTTATTAGCGGAACGGTTACTAAACAACTATGTGTACTTCATACTTCACGGACCGTACTTTTTCGCGCATATTTTTTTCGTTCTTTTTTCTGGCTGCAGTATGGTTTAATCGATTCACTATTTCCTTTCTCGATTAAGACGTACGTAGACCTTGAAACGTTATCGACGATTCTACCTACCGATTCAAGATTCGTATCTTTATTTCTTATTAACTCGATATACTTATAAATTAAAATGTGTCATTCCATATTTGGATTGGAATATTTATTTGAGCTTGTTTGCAATTTTTTTCGTCGACCAAGGCTTCGTAGTCCGAGGCCCCGTAGCCTAAGCCACATACCCACATATACAAACCAGAGCTTTTGAAACGTTTTAAGTGCATTTGGTGCACTTGTTTAAGTACGATGATCTCAAGAAGAGAAGAAACAAACGCTAATTTATCATAGTCAACCTGTTAAAAAGATATATTGCTATACATATTTCAATATGCCGCATTCCCACGTGTATAACGCGAGTCTTTTCGATACGCGGAACCTTTCCACCGGAAGTGCATAAATTAAGTAAGTCCCTTTGGTAGTTAAATCGACCTTTTGCAGGCGCTTCGAGTGTGGTCTGCCAAGGGCGTTGCACACGTGGGAACGCGGCATTACGTTGCATCTCATTCGAGGTGCAAGCGCGGTATCTGTTCCCATTCGCGCGGTGTAAGGTGCAGGCACGTCATGCGAGCAGAGTGAAGCTGCAAGAATCTCGGGAGGTGACGAAAATTGGTGCGCCGACGATAAGCCTCGGTCGAGACATGTTTCAAGATAAATTACTGCGGTAAGAGCGGTTTCGAAGTAACAACGTACTGCGTTTAAGCAACACTGTGCTCCAAGCCCGTTTTACACAGCTCCGTTGCTTCTATGAGATAATGAGACCGGTTCGAGTTACGGTAGGGGGAGGGAAACGGTGAATAAAAGTAAGAGTATGTTCGCGGAGCAAAGTGCACGACCAAAGCGCTTCTACCCGGGAAAGGAGAATCGGGGTTAACATGCCGTTAAAAGTTGCATTGTTATTAACGTTCAACATTTTCTTTCTTTCCCTCCTTCCTTTTGAAGAGAGAATCGTGCATCGTGCAGCGATAGGCGGTAAGTGGTTAGACTTTCAAAAGAACCGGATACGCGAGTGTGAGTAGGTGCAGTCGCAGAAGCTACGTGGGAACTGGAAGTCTCGGATATGCCTGTTCCAGTTTTGGATCGCTGGCTACGCGAATTCGACGCATTACCAGTTTCGGAACTTTTTGTATGTACAGAATTTGTGCAATTTCGTACGACGCGAAGCTTGTTAGTAGGCTGGAAGAAAGAAGAGTCTTAACTCTTTCAGACCTGAGTTATATCTATCAGTAAAAATAATAAACAGCATATTTCAAAGTGAAACAGTATCACGGAATTATAAATTTAGACGGTCTGAAGGGGTTAGTCGAAAGCGTTTGAGTTCGATTAATTTTGATGAGTCTGTCGATTAATTTGTTAGTAAGATTACCCATTGTACCCTATTTTATACACGTGCATATTTGATGGCAGGATAAAGGATCAGGACAGAAAATAGTTTCGAATATTTAGACAGGTTTAATGGGAAGGTTAATAACGAGTGTTAGAGATGTATCGATGAATATTTATTATTCAACCGTTGTCGGAACACGATAGAATTAAGAAGGCAGTTGAACGATTATATTTGCAGTCTACCGGAACTTCAATTTCGTTATTTAACCCAGAACGTTACAGAATGCATAGACGTATATCCGTTAAATCCAATTATATTTTCATGGCAACTCATGGACGCGTTTCCATCATTGCGTTATCCACAGGATAAAGCGATACAAATGTTAACAAGGGCTCGAATAACGATCGTTATTTCGTTCGGAATCCCACGTTCGGCCTGCTCTAACTTATTCCGTTATTCGTGCACTGGCCACGGGTCGATGTTAATTCAGGGATTAGCGGATGGAGAGACACGCGTTACGTCGCGAACGTTCGATGCGAGAAGAAGGAGATTCATTGTTATATCGTGTCGTGCAGTAAAATCAGAGTGCAGTGCAGTAGCATCGTACAGTGCAACACAGCAGACGGATAGAACTAGTATGTTTTATACTCACAAGGACCATTGTTACTGTCGGGGGCTGCGAAACAGGGAGATACAACAAAACTTTAATTTCTAGTTCAATCAGATAAGCATTCGTAAAGAATAAATTATTGGGAGAGCCGGGTATAGAGGGGAAATACGTGTCTACTGTCCGATATTAAACGTAAACGGGATACGTCGAACTGTATAAATTACGGAAACGTAAAGAAAAAAAAAAATCACAAAACTTTCGTTCGAACTGATTAATAAATCAATCAGATTCGAACCGATCACCGGTGTAAATATATCCGCAGCTTGTGTTACGTGCGATACATTCCAACATCCCCATTGTTGCTACCGTCTCACCACTACACCGTTTACTTGATTAGAGAATTTAGTCACCGGATACCATTGCATGTACAGCGGAACCGATATCATTCGTTAAAAAAGAATTGTGCTTGTGCACGAGGTTAACTCGGTTAAGCCTTCACGCTTTAAAACAAAAAGTCATTATGCGCCCCACAGCTGGGTCGAGACGAGCGTATTCGTTAGGGGACGTTTAATTCGGGACTGGATTCGGGGGATGTAGCACTCTTCGATCGCACGTTTACGTTTCGAATGTAACACACGTTCGCCGCTGTCGTAACACTATCGGGAGCAACAAACAAAATATCTCTCTTTGAAGAGAAGAATACACGGGGTGAGTCGTGCGATTCGCGCTAGCCGTATCTTTTACACGGTTGACGATGCAAATAACTTCAAAAGCGTTTCGTTCTTAATACTTTTATACGCGCCGCGAGAACAATGCGTGACAAATGTACAGAAGAGAAAACTGTCATAGGGAGATAAACATCGTTTATACCATTCAATATTTTTTTAATCATCGTTCGTGCAAGACACCGGGACTCGGGATTCACCCCGTTTACGCTTCTAATCGCTCGCGTTATCGTCTCGTATGGAAGGATGACGTGAAACACCAAAAACTAAGCCGAAAGGCAAACAACGCCGACCACGTAAAACGCAGTCCGGCCCCTTTGAATCGTTTATCTCGCGTGACGGTGAAAAAGCTACATTGTTTCCATTCAGGTCGGAACTTCATCGTTCCATAACGGGTTTACCGCGCGTTTAATTCGATCTTCGTAATCGTCGTTCCACGGACACGAATCAGTCCGTTGGCCGTGCAACGAGCGGTCGCTCACCTGTATTGAAGTCCAGGGCGAATTCCTCGAAATCGTTCCCTTTGGTTATGCTGTATATGAGCTTGCGACTCAACGGTGACTCAGCTTGTATGGACAGAGCCAGAGGCGAGTGCACCTCGATACTTTCCAGCACGCTGTCCGTGTAAAATTGCTTGTCGAACACCGGCATCGAACGATCTATCACCTTCACGTTCACCGGCACCTCGACGGAGCAAGGTGTAATACCTGAAATAATGTTTAAAGCTCGTCGAGTATCGCTCGTATCCGCGTAGCCTCGGCCATCGATGCACTTACCGCCATCGTAAGCGGCGATCGTGAGCTGATACTCGCGATTGTGACCCTCCAGGTTCTGTTTCAGAAATATTTCGCCGGTTTTTCGGTTCACTTTGAACAGCTCGCCGTGGCCCTTCTTCAGTTCGTATCTCACCTCTCCGTTATCGCCGCTGTCCATGTCCACCGCGTGCACCTGCACAATATTACTCGTAATTATATTAATCCGCAGAGGGTGACTGACCTGATTTCAATAGATTCTCAGAGAAACGATTTTACCGTTTATTAGCCTATCGATTAACTATATACTTCGTTACAAGATTAGGGTAGAAGGCGGAGAGTCGTTCCCCGGTGCTTCTCCAATCTGCCACGTCGATTCTTTCATCGACTTTCGCCATAGATTGGGACTCGAACCCAGACCTCCCGTTTATTGCGCCACTAATCAATCGCTCGATAGGTCCCAGCAATTGCACGGTGACCGTAAAATCCTTCTACCTGGACGAACTACACGGAACTATCCTTAACCTACTTGCCTTTGTAATGACGTCGCCCTTCTGAGCGTCGACGGAGACGACGGCGTAATAGGGAAGATTGACGAACATCGGGCAGTTATCGTTGATGTCCAGCACTGTGACGTTGACGATCACGTGCGCCACTCTGGGCTTCGCTCTGTCCGGCATCTGACTCTTCGCTTCCACAATCAGCTCGTAATGGTCGCAAACTTCACGGTCGAATCTAATCCCCGTTGTTCTGATCGCCCCCGACGTCGATCCAATTACAAACATGTCCGTGGGGTTCAGTATACCGAAGACTATGTGCTCGTTGAGGATGCTGCCGAGAACGTTCACGACCGCGACGGTCGTGGTCCGCGTCGAGTTTTCCGGGATCGTTCCCTCGTAGATGTCCTTTTGGAACACCAGTCCGGAGTTCTCCGACTTCTCGACCATCACATTTACCTGGGCGACGCTCGAGTACTTCCCGTCGGAGACACGGACCCGCAGGAGGTAACTTTTCTTCATGCGTTCCGGGTTATAAACCGTGATGACGCCGGTTTGAGCGTCTATATCGAACGTGTGCCCCTTGTTCCCGTCGATGATATCGTACCTGAACGAGAGAAACGACCGTTGCGTTTAGAGGAAGGAACGAGAAGGCAGCTACGTATGCAGACCCATCAGGGGGACCCTTCGTTGCACACGAGAAAGTATTAAGTTCTAGTCTCCCCTGTGGGATAATAATACGGGCAATTTACAAAACAGATTAAATGACTGCGAGTGACTGCGTTCGCTGCAATTTGGCACCGAGCAGGGACCAGCATGTGGCTAGCGGTGTACAGTTTCTCTCGGCGTTTGTTCGAAAATTGAGAATGAATTAAATGTCGCACACGGGTACCTTACAAATTTGCTACATATTTGTTATACGGTTGTTTTTTCTCGTTTTTAAGAGTCAAGTCTGCATTAACCAGTACTAACATACGATAATGGGCAAAAATTTCTTGGTAGATAGGTCGTATATTATATCTGGGGCAATGTCTCCTAAGAGCATTAAGCCATAGTACAGGGAACGGTATAAAGGTAGACAGAAAGGCAGACTTTGTTCGAGCGGTAGTAGAAAGTTACAATGCAAAAACCATGATTGGATGAAGAAGACTGTATAGTATGTCGGGAGCACGCGATAGATATACAGGGTGTTCGGCCACCCCTGGGAAAAATCTTAATTGGAGATTCTAGGGGCCAAAATAAGACGAAAATTTCGAGAAAAAAATTCGAGTAGGTGTTGAAATTTTTCGACGAAATTAAAAATTTCAACTCGTTCTAAAAAAATTATTTTCAGTCGCGAGGGGCAATTACAAGCATTTTTGGTGCATACACATACCCCCGAATTGGCCTCTAGAATCTCCCATTAAAATTTTTTCCAGGGTTGGTCGAACACCCTGTATGAGCGTACATAGTCTTGTCAAAAAGAGGGTAACGCTATTGATATTCGTGAAAAGTATGTCAACGGAATATTTAAAAAACTAAAATAGTCATGCAAACGAAGTTAGCCGCGTATCAAAGTCTAAAAGAACCAAGTCGCGTCGGATAAGGACAGCAGTATTATAGCATTCTTTTCGCCGACTGGGATCGTGAGTTTCCGCGAGCCGTCACCGTTCGCCTTGGCGTAAAAAACATCGTGCTAACACCTATGCAAATTCGAACCTCGCCGTCGCGTAATAAGCGGGCAGCAATTTTCTTCCGGCGCGCGGGAAAAACCCCCCGGAGCGTATCAAACGGGGATCGTAGAAATTTCATGCAACAATTATAATGGTAAATGAATGCTAACGAAGGCGCGCGAGAGGGCATAAATATGAATCAGCTTTGTAAAAACCCGGCATAAATGGAGGGACGCGCATATATTAATAACTTTGCACGTACCTGAGCGCGACCCCCTCGGAACTATCCGGATCCACGGCGTTCACTTGAACGACAGCGACGTTTTTGTAAGTGGGCAATAGCAGAGTAGTGTTATAGTCGTTCTCCAGGAACGTGGGTGGACAGTCGTTCACGTCCGTGACCACGATCATCACCTTGGCGGTGGTCTCCGACAGGAGCTTAGGCTTTCCCAAATCGGAGACCTTGACGTGGAATGTGAACTTCGGTATGCTCTCGTGATCCAGCACCATCACGGTCCTGATGGCGCCGGTGCTCGAGTCGATGTGGAAGTACTTTCGCGGTAGATCCTCGACGATATCGTAATTCAACAAAGCGTTCAGCTCGGAATCAGCGTCCTCGGCCTTGATCACCAGCGGCGTGCTCGCGTTGGTGAGTACCAGGGAGCCGATGCTCGCTCCTTCGCTGATCTCTCCGCTGTAGGTAGCCTGCAGGAACCGCGGCGCGTTGTCGTTTCGATCCAGCACGTGAATGATCACACTGCACCGCGCCCTAGCGCTAGCCATGTTGGTTGCGGCCACCGTCAGATTGTAGAACTTCGTCGTCTCGTAGTCCAGCTCGTTCTTGATCACTATGATGCCCGTGCTGGGGTTCACGAAGAACGTGTCGTCCTTGTTGCCGCCGACTATCTCGAACTGCAACGAGGACGTGCTTCTGGCCTCCACGTGTTTCACGTACGTACCGAGTTGCTGGTTCTCGTATATCTCCGCGGACAGCTCCTTCTGGATGAAACGGGGCGGAGCGTTGTCGGCCATGGTGACCATCACGTGCACCGGCACGGTGTTCGCTAGGGCCGGGGAACCGTGATCCGTGGCCTTCACCAGCAGAATGTATTCCGAGGAGACCGCTAGGTCCAGTTCGCGCGCGACACGGATCACGCCCAGATCGGGCTCGATGGAGAACATGTTGCCCACGTTGCCAGAAGTGATCGAATAGGTGATCTTCGCGTTGTCCCCTCGGTCTCTGTCTATGGCGCAGACCTGGACCACCGCGGCCCCGATCGGCGACGTCTCGTACACCTTTCCTTGGATGATCTCGCTGATGAATTCCGGCGCGTGATCGTTGTGATCGTGCACGGTCACCACCACCCTCGCGTAGTTTCGTTTCGCGGGGGTCCCTTGGTCCTTGACCATCACGGTCAGCACGTGCTCCTCGATCGTTTCCCTATCCAGGACCTCGTTCAAGGTCACGGAACCCGACACCGAGTCCACGCGAAAGATCTCCAGGGACGCCTGGCTCTGGGCGGCGTGCAGACTATAGAACACCCTCTTGTCCTCGTCCTCGTCGGTTCCGTGCAACTGCAGAATCTTCTCGCCCTTCTCAACGTTCTCCGAGATGTCCACGCGATACGTGCCCTCCGTGAACTCCGGTCTGTGATCGTTGATATCGATCACCGTGACCAGCAGCTGCGTCACAACCGTGTGCACGCTATCCGTCACGCCGATCGTGAGATTGTAGAAGTTCTGCGTCTCCCAGTCGAGCTTCTTCGCCAGCAGCACGTTCCCGTTGTCGCGCCCGATGAAGAACTCGTCTCGCTTGTCGCCGTCTGAAACGCGCCGTTGCAACTTTTTTACCTAGATCAGCTGCGAACGTTTCGCTACTTGGCCGCGAAACTTCTTTTAAAGTGTCACGTATTGTACGTACACGAGAAGTTGTCTAGTACTTGGCTTGCTTCACCTATCACATTCAGCTAATAGCGACCATAGGTGCGCTAGCCAACTTCTCGCGGACGCATAGTAGTTTTTCGGCAAACAACATAAAAAACCACGCAACTGCCAGATATGTCTGAAACTTTAGTGCGTCCTCCAAAGGGGAACCGAAATGTCGCAGCTTGTCTAATGATTCCCTCCGCACCAGGCTCTTGTACAAGTTCCAAGTCGTACCTAGGCGACCCCTTTCCCCTAAATCTTACAATTTTAACGACAAGAATGTACACGCTAGCGCAGCTCCAACTGGCGCAGCCATTTGGCGGACCAAAGTTTAACTGCTGTCTACCACCCTGCGAAACTTTCCAACCCTTTGACCCTGTTAACTTAGAAAATGTTACCCGAGCCTCTAACTATTCACGCGTTCCTCGTATGTATCTCAACCGGACGACCCAATATTTCGCCAATTAACGACGACGTGACACGAAATCTAACGTTCCTTTGAACTTGCTCGGTGACAGATGTATCGGGTCGCGGTGTAACTCGTGCGTTTACTCACCGAGTATATCGTACCACAAGGAGTCACCGTCCTTGTCCGTAGCCTGCACAAGAGCCACGAGGAAGCCGACCTCGTCGCTCTCCGTGACCTCGACGCTTTGATTGTTCATCTTGAAGACTGGCGGGTTCTTGGATTCCTTAGGAACCTCGACAACTTGCACGGATACCCGTGTTTGATGACTACGTTGCGGTTCCCCGCTGTCGGCGGCCCTTATCTGCGAAACAGAAGCACAACCCTCAAGTTACACTACAACTCAACTTGTGTCAAAGGTCCTACCCCCGATAAACAACGAGTTAATCTCTGGATCGAACGGATTTACGCTTCCATCTATTTATTTTGTACAGAAACGTAAGAAATAATTTTATCGTTTTATAGTTGAACTCAACGTTTCTTCGTTTCGTTCTAAAGCAATCGAGATCTTATTTCGCTATTCCTGCGCGGTAAGAATTTCCTCGCGTTTAATAGATAATACTACTTTGCATCGAGTGTTCTGCATTAATTTGAATAAATTCGCAACGACGCGCAACGTTTCTGTACCATTTGGGAAATATTGTATTCAGTTCGACAGAGGTGAAATACGACGTGAGCTGCAAATGCTCAATTGTACTACAACGGTCTGTTACTTCTTTTTAGAAGAAGAGCGTGTTCAGATTTACTTAAGCGAATCTGAAATTTGTTTGCTATTCTACTCACCATCATTTCGTATTCCTGTCCGGCATCGAACCCACGTTGGGAGTACACCATCCCCGTGGTGGGATGGATCTTAAACTTGCCCTTGCCTCGGCCACCCTTGATGCTATACTGGATTTTTCCATTATCGCCAATGTCTTTATCGTTCGCGAGAACCTGGTGTACAGGAACACAATACAAGTGTTAGACGAATTCGTTACGACGTATCGTCGTAGTCGTTGTCATTCTCTACTAACATAGCTTGACACGACACAAAAGAGACATTAGTATCGTGCGCGGCCATCGGCTGTATAAAAAATAATAGAAAAGAAATCCTGAAAGATTCGCAAGATTCAAGCTCGTTCTAAGACTCCCCTGATCGCGTCGCAGACACGTTTGTAAAAATCTTCGATCGTGCGCGATTACACGATGAAATCGATCGCTTTCGTGCGCAATGCGAGGGAATTTGTATAAATTGAAATACATATATCACAGTCTATGTAATAATGGGAGTTTAAGTCATCGTTTCAATTTGAACGAAATTCCCGATATCACGCAGAAAAGCGATCGATTTGGCGTGAAACGGCCAATAGCTTAATGTCTGCAAAAAAAAGGAAAACGAAAACATTGTCTACTGCAATCGTCGAACGAAATCTATTGCGCAGATCTAGTAACGAGAAACGTAAGACAAGTAAACAATTCATTCTTTCTAAGACACTTCGTTCACGTTCTAAGATTTTCCAATTGATCCTGATCCCGGCGTACGCATCATGAAACATCGCGCTTGCGACCTCGAAGCGTAGCATTCGCACAGTCGACATCATGCGGCACGCGAAAATGAAAAACCAAAAAAAGAAGGAAAAGGGGGAATTGAAAGGAGAAGGAGAGATGGCCCCTCCTCCTATGAGCTGCCAAATATCGATCTGCATTAAAGCGTATTAAACACAGGCCGCGCTTTCTGCGGACAGGCAGATCGATCGCGCGAACACGGAACGCTATTTCGGGCTGATGCACGCGGATTCGCGCGGCCCTTGCCAGTACACGGAAAAATGTATTGCAGCCAGGTCATCGAACAGCAACAGCGCATAGCTTTCCTTTTTTGCGCAGCAACGTGCATTCAGGCTGCCCCAATAACTCTGCCCGTCTCGAATATTTTCGTTGTTTTAACCCTTTGTGAACGGGCGCTGGCAAACAATTCGTCAAGCATTTTTCATCCAACTAAATTGGAAGCTTTTCCGAAGTGATTAAGATCTCTTCGTTCATCAAGCTCGATGAAAAACGAAACGGTCGATCCGTTTGAAACAACGAAGTCAACATTATTATTTGAAACAGCGAAAATATTTGAGGTGGACATAGTCAGTGGACCACCCTGTCATTCGCCATATGCTAACTCATATTCCGTACAAGTCTTCCGACTCGAAATTCTCGTGCTGTTACGTAACAATTCCAATACTCGGTCCGGTTATAGTATTATTAGGTCATCCCATACGCGATGCGATGTTTGGTTAATGAATGAAAGTAAAAGAAACGCGTTGCGTCGTTTTGTCTCACCATTTCGCTATCTCGATGTGGACGAGAAGATATCCAGTGATGTAGGATGTATAGTTACAAGTAGCAGAACCTATAAGTCATCTTAAACGATCTGGCCAAATTAGGATCCAATAGATCCGATACAGATAACCTAGCCATCATCCACCCGATATCGCGCAGTTAAGTCTGAATAGACTCGATATTATATTGGAATTCCAATATAATTCTTATGATAGTCTTCTGCGCCACATAAAGCGATTCTTCGACATTATTATTTACACGTTTCTTGGAATACAGTTAAATAATACTCGAATATTAATCATTACTAAACAGATCACGTCTGGCAGACGACATCGTACGAGTTTCATGTTTTTTTAATTTTACCGGGACTATCTATAAAAATCATAAATCTGAACCGTTCGAATGCTTTCGTTAGATCCAAGCTCGGTCAAGCAATGTTTAAGATGAAGATGATACGTACGTATAATAAATGGGATGACCTAAAACAAGCATATCACGTTAATTAGCGTTGAATTCGTGGGAAAGAAAGCGTCGTACTTGCCGCGAGCGTTCCCTTTCTTTCCTTTCTTCCTATTTCCGCGTCATGCTTCCCATCGGGCGAGACGCGTCCCGACGTCGCGATTCTTATTATTAGAAGAGAGAACGGAAAATGATCAGGCGACAGCCCCGTAACAGACAAAGGCAAACATTCAAGAAACATAATGAGTACACATAGAGACGAGCAAAACGGGCAAAACGCGACGGATAGATCGAGACGATCACATACACAGGGGGATACGAGGGGGATGGAGAGAAACAGCCAAGGATCGCGTACCACGCGAGCCCGAGCGAACGTCTCGTTACAGAACGTTCGCGCTACCATCTAGATGCGGAACACTCTCTCTCGAGAAGTACTTGAATTAAGTTTCTAAAGCCTAACGCAACAATGGAATAGACCGTCCTTTGTTTCGCGGTGTATATATACGCGTGGGTGTTTCGCATTGTTAGCAAAAAAGAGTTTCGATTTAAACTTTTGTAGGTAAGATGATGGAACAGAATATTGTCGGACTTGAAACTGAACAAAACAAGATTAGACGATAGTGGTACGTTTACAATTAATTAAGATGTATTGTTAATTGTACGTGGCACGAAGTTCGCTCGGAGTCGCATGGTACTTGGTCGACAGACCCTTAAAAGGGGGTTGCATCGGGCAGGAGAAAAAGACGATCGATCAATTACACGAATGCATGACGGTCTCCTATAAAAATGGGCAGCTGGGTTGCATGAAAGTTGCGGTATCATAATTATAACGTACAAGTCGATATAAAAGCGGTCACAAATCAATGCAAGGAGTTCGCGTAAACTACCCCGAGACCAATCCCGCATTTACTTATGCAAGTATTATGACCCCGCGCCATCAGACGGCGCTTAGTTTACGTGCCAACGTGTCCTTACCCTGAAGATACGATCTCCTGACAAGGTGTCGGGGCTAAATGTCTCCCAAGTTCCATTCTCTAGTAACGTATCGATCGAGAGGTCGAACTCCCGCGAGCGGTTCCTCGATTTCTGCCGAGAACGAGAGAAGTAAAGCTTTTAACTTTCGCATTGTTTCCATTAATTCTCTTCGTTCCTCTCCGCGTGCTTCTCTTCCCGGCTCGTCCAATGAATACTTCGCTTCGATCAGTTGATTTTGCAAACGACGAGCCGTTCGAATACATCCGACAACGCTCCTAAGGCGTCGCGGAAAACCATTTATTCCGACGATTTTACAATCCAACGGAATTACACTATCGCTCAAAAGTTCGGAGCACCCTTCGATTTTTACAAAAAAAAAAACGAACCTCGTTCATACACTCGTGTACTTGCTTCGTTTGAAAATTATGCTGTTTCAATAAGAAGAAAATCGGCTTCCGAAAGAATTTTAACTTTAAATATTCACAATGATTTAGTTTCAACTAATATTCGAGTAGGTAACGTATGAGGATAGTATTTGCAGTGAAACAGTTGGGTATGTACGAAAAGAGTTCATTTATTTTAAAGATCGAAGGGTGCTTTAAACTTTTGAGCGGCAATGTACGTGCGATTGTCGGCGCTCCAATCGCTTCGCGATCGTTCTACCGACGAAATGGATCGTACTTCGATTACAGTTGGTGATCTATGGTTCCCTCGATATCCTCTCCCCCAGCTTGGTCCCTTAACGTTTCCCATGTTCTTGATACTCCTTCTCTTCGAGAGACATTATCGACGATCCAAGGATATTTAATCGATCGAATATAATTATTTTTTTTTTTTCCAAAGACGCTCGTTGTCACGCGACGACCAAACTCGCGCGTATCGAAGCCCTCGAACAATGGCGGCGGACCGAAATTACGGAAACGGACAGCTGTAACTCGATATTCGGTGAAATCGAATCTGACCTCGACGAAATTCGACGCCGCGCCGCCGGGAAATTATATTATATATTCCAGGGATATTGTGAACGATATATCACTGTTCAAATCGGATTAACGGGACCTCTCCGTCCCTATGATATCATTTATTACCTTATTTCCGGGTCGCTTTTCGAATTTTACAAATGTTTAATAATATCGAGAACTTCTAGCTGCACTTAGCAGCGTTTTCAATTTGTTCGTTGCATTTCCTTTCGCATGTTTCGTCGAATATTAACGAATTGCTATTTGGAACGTTGATTAACGAAATACTCGCGACGATCGTACCGCTTAATTTACCTTGAAGACATAACAGGGAATAACATTGGGGAACAGGACTCGAAGTAGTCGAGGTGAGAATCGATTCTCGAATGGCGAAGCTCGTCCAAAGGCTCGTCTTTCCAAAGGGAACTCGTTACCGCGACTTCCGTCGTTCGGATCCCAAAGTCGTCGACGCGTGGAACGCGCCACGTAACCGGTGCAAGTTCTCGCTCGTAAATCCGTGGAACGACAGGACGGCTGCTGGCGGATCCCGTGCGAGGGTATTCGTGTGCTAAATCTCTACCCTTTTACGCCGCCATAGTCACCGACTGGCCGTGGGTTACTTTGATCGCGCGGAGGACAAGGAGGCGACGACTCGAACGGAGAACACGCTCGACAACGACAAAGCGAAGAGGGTATCAGCAAGCGATCTGCTCTTTGTGGCTCATACATACCAGGCTTTTTCTATACCTCGATACGTGGGATACATCGTGTCATACATCAACGTCTGCGGACACGCGTGTGTGCATGGCTCTGTCACGAGTAAGGCGTACAAAATTAAGACGTACTTCAAGCAATCGCCAACATACGTGATGGGGTCTGGATCGACTTTCGTACCGAAACGTCGGTTCGCTAATTGGAATTCGGGCTATCTTTACAAGGAAGACGTGGGGTGAGATTGTCATCTCGTGACGTTACTGCGTGACATTTGGGGTGACGATAGGTTGGGGGGTTCAAGTGGGCGGTTTACTGGTTCGAAACGGACGCCATTTCTAAAATAATTCGTTCCAAAAAATCTTTGAGTATTCCATAAAATCAAACGACTTGAGTCAATAGCGTTCGGTTCAAACGAGTTTGCGACCAACTTTCAAGAAGGAATGCGAGAGTCAAGAAGCAGGTAGCATTTTCGTTGAAAACAGTGGGGTCTTGAATTCTTCGGGACGTAAACAACTTGCACAGTTTCGATTGTTCTAGACTCACGCACTTGTCTAGCATACGTACAGCTGGACGAGCACTCTTCTCGCGGGACGGGGGGTTTCTTCACGGGTGAACAGATAATATATACAACAAGATACGGGGGGATGCTTCTACATGGTGTACAAAGAGAGAAAAGGGAGAACGAAACGGAAGAGAATCGGCTGGCTCTGTCCGTTTCTCGATTTACATCGAGGGTCGAAGAGAGTGCGATGCCATGTTCCAATTCAACTAGAAGGCCGGATAGAGTTACGAAGATCGGGAAATCGCCGAAAGAAGTTCAGACGAAAGGTCTACGTACCTGGAAGAGTGGTTTGTCGATCGAAGGAGAGGCCGGGATCTGAACGGTGTAGAATTTTTGCTCGAACTCCGGTCCGTGGTCGTTTATGTCCGCCACCGCGATCACCACACGGGTCGTCGACAACAGAGACGGTCGTCCGTTGTCTTTCACTGTCACCTGAAACATACAATGATCGATCGAACGTTTCAGAAACGGCGCAGATTTATCGTTCCGACTCCGAAGAAGGAAAAATTCCGCGGCGCAAAACATCCCCGAGCGTCGTGAAAAATGAGCCACTCGTAGGGCAAATCTGCTGCATTATTCTCGATACTCCGACGGTGTGTTTTTAACCCTTTTCGTTGCAGCAGGTTACGTCTCGTTCGAACAAAAACCGCATGATCGCGTCTATGTTTCATCCGTAAAACGAGCATTTCGCGTTTCGTTGCCATTTTGCTGGACGACCAATAGAAAACACTTCCGATCTCAGTTTCGCGCGTCCAACAAATTTCTACTTTCGTATAATGGGATTATTACTGGAAAAGCTCGCGACGCATACTCGAGAACGAACGCGGAATCGAATGGCTTCAATTCTGACTACTCGCGTAACGGAACCCACGGAACACTCGGCTAAAGTGCGCCATACTTTCGACAGCGGTAACGCAATATCTCGAAACGTTTCTCGCCGGTATGAGTTCTTCCTTTTATCCCACTTACCGCGCCCGTTACCCTAATCCTACACACTTTCTACCTTCTTCCTGTTGATACTACGGAATGGACTTTCATGCGCGAATATCGTGCATAAGATCTGCGTAATCGGCCAAGCTGACCGAGTACGACGTCCTTCCGGTCGTAAAGGCAAAGGGGACAACGGAATCTCGGCGAGGACGTCGCCGTAGAGAAACTTATTTCTTCGACTTGGAAGCCTTCCGGAGATAAGGCTCTGCACCTTCTGTCTATTCGAGCTTACGTACAGTTTGGGTCAGAAAGATAGGACGTTAATTTCTGAACTTTTGTCCAACGCTTATTGGGATTGATTTAATGCGTGCAATACGAGTTGGACTTCGGCACAAGTAGAAACAGCGATCATGGACGGACGCATCAGGCAAATCGTATTAAATTGAAAACAAAAATAGAACCGGGTACAGCTTCCACAGATTCCCAAAGTTTCGTAATCTTCCGAAGGAGAATTTGTTCTTTCGTTACACGACACGAAAGCGTTTCGCTCGCTGTTACTTCGGAATCGAATTCTTCCAAAAAAATGTTCCAAAGCTCCCGTGTCGTGCTTTCGCGTGTTCGGAGTGATTTTCAGGCGGAGATTATTTTGTTGTCCCGTTATTGGGAGTACGGGCGAGACCGGAAACGGTCCGACGCTCGTTTCTGCGCGGACGAGAAAAATCGGGTAAAAGGACTGGTTGCGAGTCGACGAGGGGGAACAAGTTTTATTGAATTTACTAAAATGGCCATTCGAGAACTGTCATAGCCAGAACGGTGACGGCGATCGGGGATAGTTTAATTACTTTGGTCCGTTGTTTCGTTAGCCTCGAACGTGACTATTTTCCCTTATGCCAGCCGCGGTTTTACATGTTGGCACATCCCACGAAAAATAACCGAAAGCAATATCGAAAGGTCCATCGTTCGCTGTATCGTTTCCAGCACGGTCACACTGGGCCCTAGTATCGATTAACCGATATCGGGTTATCAATTATTCTTAGCGCATATTGCTCGAACCCGAATACGCGATATCGAGATTTAAAGAGCGCGATAATTTATCGTTTCGTTCGTCTAGCCGCTGACACGAATTTCTCCGCGTTTGTTTTCCTTGTGGAAGCAACGCAGGAAGGCTCGCGTACACATCGTTTATTAAAAGATTTCGGAGCAAGAATCCCAAATGAAAATCATTGCGCCGAGAGATCAGGAGAACGGTTATGATCCTTGTTTCGAGTAACTTTCGTTTCTGTTCTTTCGGGCACTTAGTGTACACATAAAAAGGGGGTTAAAGAATTTAAAACTGAAAGGGGAGACGTTCGCGAACGTAAATTAGTCAAGGAATTTTCTCTTAAGTCCTTTTGATTGGTACCGAAGACTGGAAGAATCCCCCAAATAATGACCGTGGATTTACAACGCCTCCCTCGGGAGACATAACAATTTTCATTAATTCAGCTTGGAAAGACAGGGTCGTTTGGACTGTTTGTCAGCGATGAGATCACAAATAAAACAAAGATTATCAGTAGTAAAATAATTTATCAAGCTTTTTGGTAGAACCAAAAGTCTCTATGTGACGCGGCACTGTGTAGTGCGATCAATGGTGGACATTTTCATCCTGTTAAACTCTCTGCTATTTTAGTTGTTTTGAGGAATAGATAGTTCGTTCTCAGATTAACAAGTTGTCCTTTGTATGAAAAATAATTAGGATTTAAATAAAAATAAGCTTGTTTTCGGTATTTCGTCTCGGTTTACGGTAGGTGGAGGACGAAGGAGTCGTTTTCAAGGCGTAAATCGAGCGACCTGGCAGCCACATTGCAACGGCACACGTCACATCCTTCTGGTACCGCCTGCACTAAATTGGGACTACGAAACTCCTGTTTTATCCTCGGCGCTAGAGAATCGGCGGTAGTCGACGTCGTCTCGGCGACGATGGGGTTGATACGCCAGTTTCGTGCATCCCCGGAAACTACGACCGGCGAGAAATGTCCTTCCATTGGTCGAACGTGCAGTGAACGCGGCCACGTGTAACGAGGACGACTTAAGTGCAGAGCCTCGTTGATACGTCGAGTGGATTTAACCCTTTTAGTACCGAGCGAAAAACGGGTGCCTATGCGAAGAATACCGAGCCAATTTGACGAATTTGTTATGGTTAGAGAAAAAGCTCGTAAAAAACAAACTAAGAATGATATTTACAAAATTCAAAAAGCAGCATATTACGAAATAAAGAAAGAATAAAGTAATGGCAATTGCATTTCAATATTTATTGCAAATCGTATAAATAACATAATGATAAAATATGATAAAAAACATAGAAACAAGTTTCTCTTCTACAAGCAATATTTACGCATAAGAATAATCGTTGTTTGATCACAGTTTTATATAGGTCACGTAGCATAAAGTATAAGTATTTGATTTTCAATGATTTTTTAATAAATAATCAATTCAAAATATGATGAGGCTTTGTTAAAAAGTTATTAACGTTTAAAGTGGAGCCCGTACTGAATTTTTTTCTCGAAAACACGCAGAATTTCGAGGGTATGTCTATTCACCAAAAATGATTGTGATTGACTCCCACAACCGAAAATAATTTTTCCAGAACGATTTGAAATTTTTTTTTTTTCGTCGAAAAATCTAGGTACCTAATTACTAATTAGATTTTCGGTTAGAAATTTTTTTCTCGAAAATGCGTAGGATTTCGGGGGTATGTGTAATGATAAAAAATGATTGTAATTGACCCCTGTAACTAAATATAATTTTTTTTAGTGTGATTTTAAATATTTTAATTTCATCTAAAAAGTTCAGTACCCACTCGAATTTTTTTCTCGAAAGTGGGTAGGAATTCGGAGATATGTGTATTTACCAAAAATGATTGTAATTGACCCCTGCAATCGAAGATAATTTTTCCAGTACGGTTTGAAATTTTTTAATTTAATTGTTAATCATTTTTTAACGAGGCCTCAGTCAAGAAACTGATATTCTTCATTTTCGTCTTATTTTGACCTCTAGAATCTCCTATTAAAATTTTTCCCAGGGTTGGCCGAACACCCTGTATAATATGACGACTCCAGAATACATACGTTTCCGCCACAAAGTAGTGTTGAGTTGCTGGTTCGCCCGAGCGAAAAAGGCCTCTAAAAAATAATTTTTTAAATGCTTTTGCAATAAAATTAAACCCTTTATAATGTTTTACAAATTTTTTTTGAGACAGAGCTTTCTCCTAATGCGAAGAATAAGACACCATCGTATACGCAACGATATATCGTCGTTGGCACTTTTCGCAAGTATAGCGAACGACGATATATCGTCGTTCGGTACTAAAAGGGTTAAGCGTCCAGAAGGATCGCGTTCAATCTGGTCGTCTGGCGTCGGTTCGTTTCGTATCCCACGGTGGTTTTATTATTTAATGCCGCGGCGGCAGGTGGGACATTTTAATATCGGCCGCGATCTCTCGTCGTGCAACGACACGAAACCACGGGGCCAACTTCTGCGAAGGCAATTTACCTGGACGAACGCTTACGTAAGTCCGTAGGCGAAATTCCACGTAGTCGGGGTCATTAGCGTCATCGGAACGCGTGTCGTAAGTCTCGTTACATTTTTTCGCGAAGAATAAATAGCGATAGCTGCGTTAAAAAGCGTATCAGATTGTCAAGAAAGTACGCTGCAAGTACGGGAAAGAGTCGGAATACTTGGAATACGTTGCCGTTAAATTTAAACGAACGTTCCATACTTAAGAACCACCCTTCGAAATCGTTAGAGTTTCAAGCAATGGGTCGCAAGATTATTCGCTACTCGAGAAAAATTTCATTTCGCTGTTACGAGCGCGCCTGAAACGACGGAACCGCGTGCTTCGTAAGAGCTCCGGACCAGCCCTGAAACGTACGAGGTATCCTGTTTCGAGAATCTCCTCAAGGAACTGCGTTTTCCCTGTGATTAGGGCTAATAGCGGAGCACTGCTCGCAGAGTTCTTTAGAATCTTCTCCCCCCGGTTCGTGTCGGGGCCCTTCCTTCTCGTCTCCGCGTAATTACCTCGTCGGCCTCCGGTGATTTCTCCAGGCTTAACCTCGCGTTCGTGGCTAAGTCGGGAGGACCCGCTGCCTCGACACGAAATCCTGCGCCGCTCGTCTCGACGAAACGCTGCAATAACAAACTACGTTTCGCGGAATGTCGCCGCGCGGAAACACGCGACCGACATTACTCCTCGTTTCTTCGAGCCGACGAAATATCGGCGGAACGGTACTGAGCGAACGCCAGCCCCAAATTGCACGGAATCGCGATTTCGATTCAATATTTATTTGCAACTCGTTCATAAGAAGATAAATAATATCGTAAAATAATTGCCAATTTTCCCGGGACAGACGGAACGAACGCGTCTTCTCGTGTCATCGCACGAAAGAAGAGATACGACGTGCATTTACAGCACGAACACGCTCGAACGGGAGATGTTTATCCTTAGCTTCGTACTTATAGTTCCC